CCTTTGTAAAGTTACTACCCCTCCTTCATAAATAATAAACATTTTGGGGGGAGAGTACTCTGAGACTACATGTAGATATCCTTTTTTTTGGAGTAAGATTAGCCCTGAGCTAACATCTGCTGCCAATCCTCCTCTTTTTGCTGAGGAAGACTGGCCCTGAGCTAACATCCGTGCCCATCTTCCTCTACTTTATATGTGGGACGGCCACCACAGCATGGCTTGACAAGCGGTGCGTAGGTCTGCATCTGGCATCTGACCTGGTGAACCCTGGGCCGCCGAAGCAGAACGTGCGAACTTAACCGCTGCGCCCCCCAGCCGGCCCCTAGATATCCTTTTCTTCCATCAGACTTTTTTTTTTCTGAGGAAGATTAACCGTGAGCTAACATCTGCCACCAATCCTCCTCTTTTTGCTAAGGAAGACTGGCCCTGAGCTAACATCCATACCCATCTTCCTCTACTTTATATGTGGGATGCTTGCCACAGCGTGGGTTGACAAGCGGTGCCCTGTCCACACCCAAGATCCAAACTGGTGAACCCCGGGCCACCGAAGTGGAATGTGCGAACTTAACCGCTGCACCAGCGGGCTGGCCCCTATGATCATCTTCTGAAACACTGGACTCAGTTTTCTCTGTTAAAAGACACCAGGTTTTTGTTCTCAGTTGTTAGATGAAGATAACTCTCCCAGATAACAATGTAGGGAAATGGTATATACATAGAAAACAGTGTTACTGGTAGTGTTACTAGCCAGGTGACTAGGAAAGAACAATTTTATCTTGCTAAAATTTACAGGCCAGATGGGGTTAGAGTCTTTTGTTTTTGTTTTTTTAATTAAGGTTATGAAAGTTAACATCCTTGTGAAATTACAGTTGTACGTCATTATTAGTCATGTTGTAGGTACACCACTTCACCCCTAGTGCCCACCCCCCAACCTCCTTTCCCCTGGCAACCACCGATCAGTTCTCTTTGTCTATATGTTAACTACCACCTATGAGTGGTGTCATACAGAGTTCGTCTTTCTCTGGCTTATTTCACTCAACATAATACCCTCAAGGTCTATCCATGTTGTTGTGAATGGGACGACTTTGTCCTTTTTTATGGCTGAGTAGTATTCCATTGTATATATATATACACCACATCTTCTTTATCCAGTCATCAGTTGCTGGGCACTTAGGTTGGTTCCATGACTTGGCTATCGTGAATAATGCTGCGATGAACATAGGGGTGCATGGGACTTTTGGAATTGCTGATTTCAGGTTCTTAGGATAGATACCCAATAGTGGGATCGCTGGGTCATAAGGTATTTCTATTCTTAACTTTTTGAGGAATCTCCATACTGTTTTCCATAGTGGCTGCACCAGTTTGCATTCCCACCAACAGTGTGTGAGGGTTCCCTTTTCTCCACAGCCTCTCCAACATTTGTCACTCTTGGTTTTGGATATTTTTGTCATTCTAATAGGTGTAAGGTGATATCCTAGTGTAGTTTTGATTTGCATTTCCTTGATGATTAGTGATGATGAGCATCTTTTCATGTGTCTATTGGCCATCTGTATATCTTCTTTGGAGAAATGTCTGTTCATGTCCCCTGCCCATTTTGTAATTGGGTTGTTTGATTTTTTATTGTTGAATTGTGTGAGTTCTTTGTATATTATGGAGATTAACTCTTTGTTGGATAAATAACTTGTGAATATTTTTTCCCAATTAGTTGGCTGTTTTTTTGTTTCCATCCTGTTTTCCCTTGCATGAAGAAGCTCTTTAGTCTGATGAAGTCCCATTTGTTTATTCTTTCTGTTGTTTCCCTCATGTGAGGGGTTATGGTGTCCAAAAAGATTCTTTTGAAGCTGATGTCAAAGAGTGTACTGCCGATATTCTCTTCTAGAAGACTTATTGTTTCATGTCTAATCTTTAGGTCTTTGATCCATTTTGAGTTTATTTTAGTAAATGGTGAAAAAGAATGGTTGATTTTCATTCTTTTCCATGTGGCTGTCCAGTTTTCCCAGCACCATTTGTTGAAGAGACTTTCTTTCCTCCATTGTAGGCCCTCAGCTCCTTTGTCAAAGATTAGCTGTCCATAGATGTGTGGTTGGGGTTAGAGTTTTAAAAACCTGCTTAAGGTGTCTGGCTTATTTGTGGTTAACACTTGGATGCAGCTATTGTTCTCTTGAGACAGAGATACAGTAATTGATACTGACTTTTCCCAGGGGACTTACAGGATTTTTTTGAATTTTTGGCTGTAGGATATATATTTCTTTTATAAATTCCTTTCTCTCTTCTCTTTCATGCACATCTTGCTTTCCAGCTCAAGTATTGTAGACATTGTTTAGTGATTTCTTAGCAGAATCCCTTTTTAAAATTTTGCCGCTGTTTTATTAATATATAACTGCTGTTAGTGCCATTTGTTACACATATACCTTTGAAATGAGTCTCTTGTTATAGTAGGTGCATGTGAGCCCACTTATCTAGAGCAGTTGTGTTTTTTCTTTTCCTTTCTTCTTTGGTAATAGTGTTCATTATAGCAAAAAGAAAAATTCTTGAGGTATAATTCGTGTACCATGTATTTAAATTGTACAATTCAGTGGGTTTTAGTATATTCATAGAGTTATGAAACTATCATCATAAACAGTTTTAGAACATTTTCAGACCTCCAAAAGAAACCATGTACACTTTAACTGTCAATTCCCAATTCTTCTATCTGCCTCACCCCCTGCCCCAGCAGTAAACCACCAGTAATTTACTTCCTGTCTCTCTAGATGTGCCTGTTCTGGACATATCAAGTAAATAGAATCATTAAATACATGGTCTTTTGTGACTGGCTTCTTTTACCTGGCATAACTTCTTTTTTTTTTGGTGAGGAGATTGTCCCTGAGCTAAGATCTATGCCAATCTTCCTTTATTTTATATGTGGGACGCCACCACAGCATGGCATGATGAGTGGGGTGTAGGTCAGTGCCCAGGATCCAAACCCATGAACCCCAAGCTACCAAAGTGGAGTGTGTAAACTTAACCACTATGCCACTGGGCCCACCCTACCTAGCATAATGTTTTAAAGGTTCATCAACATTGTAGCATGTGCCAGCACCTCACTCTTTTTTATGATCAAATAATATTCCATTGTGTGGATATACCACAAGCTTTTGTTTTTTTTGGGGGTAACACTTAAGTGTTTTATGTCCTAAGAATTGATTTTCTTGTATGATAGCTTCCTTTCTTTTTTTTTTTTTTAAACTTTAAACTATCTTATTCCTAAATTTTGGATTGTATTCTTGCTGAAACCTGTATATTGAAAGCTTTCTTCCTAGAGCTAGTTTTTCTTTTACCTGAGTTTCTGACCTTCTTATAGGCTGTGGTAATAGCTGTGTGTGAAGACTTACCTTTGCCTTTTGACAGTTTTATAAAAGACGATAGCCATTAATATGTGTTCTTAGGATTCTTCCACTTTTTAGAACCTTTCCCTCTATTCTCCCATCTCCAGGAATACAGTAAATTTTTGTCAATACCATATTTTTAATAGTTTAACCTGAACTGTTGGATAAGTTAACTCTACAAGATTAATAAACATTCTAATTATATTAGCATGTCTAATATAGCACCTGGCAACCACCTTTCTCTGAATTTGACTACTCTTATGTACCTCGCATAAGTGGAATCATAAAATTATTTGTCCTTTTGTGACTGGCCTGTGTCACTTAGCACAATGTCTACAAGGTTCAGCTGTGTTGTAGCATGTGTCAGAATTTTTTTTAAGGCTGAATAATATTCTGTTGTGTGTGTACCACATTTTGCTCTTCTATTCATGCATTGATGGACACTTGGGTTTCTTCTACCTTTTGGCTGTTGTGAATTAGGTTGCTACGAACATGGTTGTACAAATATCTTGTTAAGATCCTGCTTTCAGATTCTCTTGGGTATCTATGCAGAAGTAGAATTGCAGGATCATATGGTTATTCTATTTTTAATATTTTGGGGGAACTATCGTACTGTTTTCCACAGTGGCTTCAGTGTTCTACATTCCCACCAAGCAGTGCACAAGGGTTTGAATTTCTCTACATACTTGCCAACGCTTCTTTTCTTTTTTTTTTTTTTGATAGTAGTCATTGAAATGAGAGTCAGGTTTCTCTAATGATTAGTGATGTTGAGAATCTTTTCATGTGCTTATTGACCATTTGTATATTTTCTTTGGAGAAATGTCTACTTACGTTCTTTGCCTATTTTTGAATCGGGTTGTTTTGTTGTTGTTGAGTTGTAAGAAGTTCTTAATATAGTCTTGATATTACTCCATTATCAAATGTATGATGTGCACATATTCTATGTGTTGCCTTTTTACTCTGTTAACAGTGTCTTTTGATGCACCAATCTAATTTTTGTTTTTTTCCTTTCTTCCCTGTGCCTTTAGTATCATATCCAAGAAATCATTACCAAATTCAATGTTGTGAAACTTTGCTCTGTTTTCTTCTGAGTTGTATAGTTTTAGCTTTTGCATTTAGGTCTTTAATCCAAAGTTTAGGATTTTTATTAAGAAAAACTGGAGAGTTGCTGGATAAAACTCTCTCTTCTTGCTTGCTTGCTGCCATTTTGGTTATTGGTTAGAGTCCTAGTATTAAAAATGGTATTTACTGCTACCTTTGGCTTCCTTAGCAGTTTCCTCTTTCTGGTTCTCATTTCATTTTATAGTAGAGGCTTATAGTGTCATGGTGTTTACACTAGCTGATTTTAAAAGACCTAGAATATTTTTTAATATAACCTGCCCCTATGTTAAGCTGTCACATATCACACATGTTATACAAGCAGAATCAAATTCTTTTCTAGTCTTCTAGGTATTGAAATCGGTAACTGTGCGTATAGTTGTGTCAGTAGAGAACAGCAGATAGGGTGCACTGGATGGGAATATTGGTGCTATTAGGAACAATGACAGTATTGTTTGGATGGGTGTGTATAGGATGAAATTGGTAGAATTATGACTGTGTAGGACATAAGTATTATTAACACTACAATTTTTTTAAAAGGATTTGGACGTGGCAGAGGGAGAGGGGCAGGAAGATTCTCAAGCCAAAGCATGGGGTAAGTCTTAGCCATCCTGTTTTTATAGTCATTGCCATCTCTAGTTGTTGCTCTAAGGTTTCCCTTCCTTTGTCCTGTACCCCATTTATTTATCCTGGTGAGTCAGATGTTTTCTATATTGAAAAAGAGAAAATAATGAAAAAGTGAAATAGTACAAGTAAAATTGTATTGCAGTAGGCTTTAGAGCAGAGTTTCTAGCCTTGGCTCTATTGACATTTTGGACTGGATCATAGTTTGTTGAAGTAGTGGGTTGTACTTTACTTTGTAGGATATTTAGCAACATCCCTAGCCTCTCCCTAGTAGATGCCAGTAGCACCCCTCCTCAAGTTGTGACAATCAAAAATGTCTCGAAACATTGCTAAATGTTCCCTGGAGGGTGGTGCACAATCACCCCTAGCTGAAAACTACTTCATAAGAGTAATGTTGGTAAATCCAGCAATTGTCTTTGAATGGTAAGTAAATGCAGTGTTTATTTATGTAATAGTGGTAGTTTTTTTCCTGGATTGTAATAGTGAAGGGTGAGCATACTGTTACTAAATTGGTGGCATAATCAGTTGTTTATTCATAATTTCTGGTGGTTCTTTGACTTTTTGCTGCTTCTAAAACATTAGCTCCCCCGGATGTTTAGAAAAAGTGAAGTGTCTTATAGAAGCCATATGTGGATGACAGTCAGGAAGGGAAGGGAATTGGTTCCAGGACCAGCCTGTTGTCTCTCCACAGCTTCAGGGCAGTGTGATTGGGGTCACTGCATTCACGTGGTACCTCCTGCCATCTCTGTTTTCTGCCCGAACTCCCTGTGGACAAAGGTCCCTGTAGATGGATGAAAACATGGAGCAAACTAGCCGAAATACTTGATCATATTTTCCCAGCCCAGTAACTTTAAACTGTTTTGTGGATTTTCCTGTTGACTTAAAAAAAATTTTTTTGTGTGATTTTTTTTTTTTTTGGCAATGATACCCAATAAAGCTGGGGGAAAAAATTCTGTTTTGAAAATTTTAGAGATGGTATTTAATTCGACCCTAGTTAGTTAGACCTCTGAATCCTGGGTGTTTAGGATTTTAATGAAAATAGAGGCACTGAATAAAATAGTTTCTTTTTTTTCATATCCATTGTTTCTATATGAAAAGGATCAGATATATCTGTTGTAAATGGTTCAAAGCCAAGCCTGGATTCTGACTTGGGAGGAAAAAGACTTGTTGCTTGTTTAAGTCTGGGCTTAGTTTTCAGGGGGCTTTCCATTGGAGCCCTTACTCTGCCTAGAACGATTATAGGTCTGCACACCTGCTTTAGGATGCAGAGGACAGCAATGCAGGGAAATAGGGGAAATACAAGAGCATATGGAAGGTCCCTAGGCAACCTCTGCATTGCAAAAGATCTGCATCCTGATGGCCAGAAAAATTAGCTGTAATTAAATAGGAGAAGGAGGGTGAAGTTTCTTATGGTGGCTCTTAGCAGGGACAGAGTTTGTTTTGGGGAGATTGATGTACAGGCATGTGCCGCATGATGACGTTTCTGTCAAAGACTGACCACATGTACGACAGTGGTCCCATAAGATCAGTGCCATAGAGCCTAGGTGTGTGGTAGGTTATACCATCTAGATATGCATAAGAACACGCTATGATGTTCACACAAGGATGAATCACCTAAGGTTGCATTTCTCAGAACTTATCCTGTTATTAAGTGACCCATAACTGTACAGTTAAATTTGTGACTTTGGCGACTGCTTCATTTACCTTTATTCTTTCTTTATTTCAAACCCTAGGACATTTAATCCTGCAGACTATTCAGATTCCCCGTCTATAGATGAGTGTGGGACAAAAGCAGTAGCTTGGGAAGCTGCTCAGAATGGTGCAGATGAGGGAACTGGTAAGTGTCTCTTCTTGTCGGAGGTGTGTTTTAAATGTTTGGGCTCTTAACACGTGAAGATGAAATCAAAATGTGCTGATAGAGAAGACTGGAAAACAGGCTGCTGTCCTACTTCTGAGACTGCTCTTAGCTGGTTCTTACCTCCAAAGTCTCAAACTCATAAACCTCGTTGATGATAAGGTATTTGATTTTTCCCTTCTGCACTCTGAGGAAGAGGCTGTGATCAATCTGTGTAAGTCAGTACAAACCCACACTCCAGTCTCAGTGTGTCAGGGATATATAGAATTTCTTAGGGGAAGACTTGTTACTGAAAGTACTTACCATTCCTAATGGTGGACCCTAAAATTTGTCCAAAGTGGTAGATGATACATGGGTTTGAGGCAGCAGTTGCATTTGCAGATTTTTCTGTATCCTTCTGTTTTTGGATTATTTCTTTTCTGAAATTCATAGGTAAATATTTGTTAATTGGCATGTTTATTTAATAGAGCCCTCCTGAGGATTTGTTCATGATAATATATATTAACTATTATGATTATATTTTGACACTTCATAAATTATAACCCAAAATATAAAAGTATAGCTCAATAAATTATCTCAAAGCAAACATCCATGTAACAGCAACCCTGGTCAAAAGCTAAGACCATACTACCATCACAGAAGCACAATTAACGAACTAGAAGTCAAAGATACTGTAGAGAGGATCAACAAAAGTTATAACTGGTAACTTGAAAAGACTAGTAAAATTGATCAGCTTAATTGTGAGAATGATCAAGGGAAGGAGAAAGAAGCGTACATAATTGGTTACAGGAATGAAAAAGGGGATATTTATATTAATTATAATATATAATTAATTATAATTATAAATATAGATATTAAAAGATCATAAGAAGGTGCTGGCCCCATGGCTGAGTGGTTGAGTTTGGGCACTCTGCTTTGGTGGCCCAGCGTTTCACCGGTTTGAATCCTGGCTGTGGACATGGCACCACTTGTCAGACCATGCTAAAGAGGCATCCCACATGCCACATGTAGAAGGACCCACAACTAAAAATATACAACTATGTATTGGGGGGCTTTGGGGAGAAAAAGGAAAAATAAAATCTTAAAAAAAAATCCTCTCGGATGCAGTTAATATGAGTGTAAATTAGTACAAATTAAAAAAAAAGATCATAAGATACTTTAGGTCAATAAATTTTGTGCTAACATTTGAAATTATAGATTAATCTCACTCTTCAACACAGATGTAAAAATCTTAAGCCAAAATATTGGAAAACAATTCAGTAAGGCAGACAAAGGATAATACATCCTGGTCATGTTAAATTTATACTTGGTATTAAAGTTTGTTTAACATTTAAAAATCAATCAACTCCTAGTTATGTATCTAAGAGAATGGAAGATAGAGGTTCACATAAAATCTTGTACACGAATGTTCATAGAAGTATAATTCATAATAACCAAAAATTGGAAACAAACCGTATGTCTTTCAGTGCATGAATGGATAAATAAAATGTGGTAAATCACTCACACCGTGGAGTATTCATTCTGCCATAACAAGGATTGCAGTGCTGATACATGCTGCAACATGCATGAACCTTGAGAACATCATGCTGAGTGAAAGAGGCCAATCATAAAGGACCACATATTAGATATTGAATAATTTCATTTATATGAAATGTCCAGATAAGGCAAATACATAGAGACAGAAAGTACATTGGTGGTTGCCAAGAGTTGGGAACATTTGGGAAAGATGAGAAGTGACTACTAATGGGTTCAAGATTTCCTTTTGGACGGATGAAAATATTCTGGAATAGTGGTGACTGTTGCGCAACTTGTGAATACAGTAAAAACTACTCAACCCCATACTTTCAAAGGGTGGATTTTATGCTATGTGATTTATATCTCAATAACAAAAATGAGTATTATTCATCCATTTAACAGAATAAAGGAGAGAGGTCATATCATTTCAATATGGAAACACATTTGACAATACCCAACATCCATTCCTGATTTTTTTTAAAACTGGCAAATCCAGAATATAAAGAAATTTCCTTAATTAGATAAAGGATATCTACAAAACCACAGCAAACATTTCAGTTAGTGGCGATGTGTTGAAGGTTTTTCCTGTGGAACGAGATAAGGGACTTACTCTGACTGTTTCTATTCACCACTGTACCAGAGGTACTAACCATTGCTGTAAAGAATTAAAAAGAAAAATCAGAAAGGTTGGAAACAGGGAAAAACAACTTGTCATTTCTGGCAATGATATAAAAGAACTATAGATAAATTATGAAAATTAATAATGGAGTTTTAAAAGGTGTTAGAAGTTCAATAAACAGATATATTTTTCTTTTTTTTCACTTTATAAATGTATTTTAGTTCAATTTTCTTTAAATAACCAAGCGCTGAAAACTTTACAAAAATGTTAATTAACAGATATATTTCTATAAACCATGAACAGAGAAAATGGAAAAAAAAATTAGTATCCTCAAAAAACACCAAATGCAGGGGCCGGCCCCATGGCTGAGTGGTGAAGTTCGTGTGCTCTGCTTCGGCGGGCGGCCCAGGGTTTCACCAGTTTGGGTCCTGGGCACGGACATGGCACTGCTCATCAAGCTATGCTGAGGTGGCGTCCTGCTTAGCACAACCCGCAGGACCTACAACGAGAATATACAACTATGTAGGGGGACTTTGGGGAGAAGAAGAAGGGGGAAAAAAAAAAGGATTGGCACCAGATGTTAGCTCAGCTACCGATCTTTAAAAAAAACTCCACCACCACCAAATGCCTAGGAAGAAGTCTAATGATACGTAAGATAAGCCTTCTGCCTATGGAAATTTAAAATATAAAGTCTTATATTAAAATGTAAAATTGAGAGATTCAAGAAGAAATAATAAAGGATATACCATTTTTATGTATTTCAAGTTTCACTATTGTGAAGGTTAGTTTTTACTGACTTGCTCTTTGAACTTATTAATCCATGGTAGTCCACTACTTGAAAATTTTTCCCCACTGCCCACAGATGTTTTAAAAAGTCAGGTTTGTTGAGATATATTTGTATACAAGAGTATTTACCCTTTTGAAGAGATTTAAGTGAGTGAATTCTAACATGCTTATAGTCGTGTAACTACCACTAAAATCAAGACACTGTGTTTCTATACTAGCAATGAATAACTGCAAAATAGAATAAAAGAAGACACAAAACACAACCCAGTACCATTTATAGTAGTACAAAAACATGAACTACTTAGGCATAGATCTGACAAAGTATATACAAGACTTGTATGTTAAAAATTATGCAACTTGATGAAAAAAATCAAGACCCCAAAAAGGCGGGAGATATTCATTGTTTATGAATCGGAAGACTCGATATTATGGAAATGTCACTTCTCCCCAGATTGATGTGTTAGTCCAGTACAATTTCCAGCAGATTTTTGTGTGAATTGAAAACTTGATTCTAAAGTTTTTATAGAAAAGTATAGGAACTAGCATAGCCCAAACAGTTTTGAAAAAGAACAGCAAAGTCCAAAGACTCACACTGCTTGATTTCAAGAACTTACTCTACAGCTATGCTAATCAAGACTGAGAAACTGGCAAGAGCATAGAGAGAGATCAACCATATGATAGCAGGTAAGCCCACAGATTTTTGGCTACTTGATTTTGATCAAGGTTCCAAGGTAGTTCAATGCCATCCATTATACTGGATACAAAGAAATAACTATAAGTGGATAATAGCTCAAAATGTGAAACCTGAAAGCACAAGTTTTAAAGGAAATACAGGGGCAGATCCTCACCACCTTGGATTAGGATAAGATTTCTTATATAAGACACAATAAGCAAGAGTCATAAAAGAAAAACTTGATTATTCAGAATAGAATTGAACGAGAGGATAGGCATAGTTTAGGAGGAAACATTTATAAGTCCCCTGTTTGAAAAGGGGCTTGTATACAGAATATATAAAGAACTCTCACAACTCAATAATAAGAAAGCAAACAACCGAATGAAATGAGCAATTAAAAATTAGCAAAAACCTGAAAACGTTGTGGAAATAGGTAGCGGTGGTAGTTGTACAACATTGTGAATGTACTTAATGCCAGTGAATTCTACACTTACAAAGGGTTAACATGGTAAATTTTATGTAATGTGTATTTTACCACAATAAAAATAAAAGGACATAGAACTATAGACATACATTGTGTCTATGCCAGTTATTTGGCCACTGTATTATACTGTAGTTAGGTGAGATGTAATTATCTGGGGAGACTGGGTGAAGGGTAACTTGTGAATCTATAATTATTTCAAAATAAAAAGTTAATAAAAAATGTGCAAAAGATTTGAACAGAGGCCTTACAAAGGAAAATATATGATGGCAAATAAGCACACAAAAACATGCTCACTATCCCTGGGGAAATAGAAGTGAAAACCACAGCAGATTACCACCATTCATCCATTAAAATGGCTTTGAGAAAGAACTGACAGTACCAAGTGTTAGTGAAGATGGTGGAATGACTTGAGCTCATACATTGCTGGTGTGAAAGCATACCTTTACCATCAAATCTGACAATCCCAACACTAGTTTTTTATTGAAGGGTAATGAAAACATGTCCACACAAAAACCTGCATGTGATGTTTATAGCAGCTTTATTCATAATCTCCACTGATTTTTAAATCAAGTGTTGAAACAGAATGTTGAGTTAGTCAATTAATTGCTATTTTTCTTTTTTCTCATTCCCTCCTCTTCTCTCCTCTTCTGTCTCCTCTCTCTCCTCCCCTTCCTTCCGCTCAATATAATTTATAGTAGCAGATTCTTTGCTGAAAAAGATTTAGCTAAGCAAAATGTGTTTGATGCTGAAATACAGTTAAAAGGATGTGGTCAGCTGATGGGTGCTGGCAGTTTTTTAGAGGCATCACAGAATGGTATTGTCCTTAACACAGAGTTCTGAGTCCAGCTCTCAGCCTTATAGGCTCAGAAACCTGACTTTGACAGTATGATAATCAAATTCATTCCTTAGAGGCAGACTCACATTAACCAAAATAGGAAAAACTGGAGGATAGTCAGAATGCTGATTTATAAGTTTACAAAAAAATAGGTGTAACCTATTAAACGGATTGGAATGCTCTCTTTCACAAGTGGGAAGGGAGCTTGGTGAACGTGGGAGTGAGAACATGCGTAGATGATGCAAACTGAGTGTTCAAGGGCCAGCTGGCTCATACTACTGTGTTGTTGAGTCCCGGTGGCCTGTCGCAGCATGGGTTACAGTAAGTCCCCTCTCCTTGGGTGCACAGCATCTGCTTAGCGGTGGTGCTTTCCTTCCTCTGTTGAATGTGCTGGCCAGTTTGTCTTCTGATGAGTACGTTAACTGTTCTGATATGTTAAAACCTTCCCATTTTACATGGGTCTGCAGAACTGGCATCAAATGCTCAAAATGTACATCAGGATCTGCCAGACAAAAATTCTTATGGACCCAAAGGTATGACTGTTTTATTTGAAAAACGTCCTTAGTTAAGAATCTTATAAAATGCTTACAATATCTTCCATTTTTATCAAGGCTAGCTAATAAAATTCATCAGATAAATGTTTGTAATCTATGTTTTTACAACTACTTGATGAAATAATTATCAGCTTTTGATTATGGAAGTGTTTTACAGAACGGCCCTCAAGGCACCACAGAGTTTTGCATCATCGTTTTCCTTTTTCCTACGTGGCTGCCTTATGTGTGCTCTTGATAGAGGGCTAACATCAACTTAAACTGAACATAAAGCACACATCTGAAATTTATTGTTTTAAGCTGAAAATAAATAAATGTCATTGACATTTTACCATATGTTTGAGGTATAGGTCTATAGGTCTAGAATGGGGAGCAAATTCTTACTGTAAAATTTTGATATTTCAAAATAGAGTTAGGACCTGATCCTATGTTCTTCTGTATCTAATGTCTGGATTTTTTACAGTCTGTGTATCTAGGGTAGGTTAATGCAACCACTTGGCCCTGGCTGCTGACATGGGGCTTCCCCTCTACTGCCTGTACCATGTATACCACTGTGCCATGTTGCTCTTCTGCTTATGACTACATGTGTTTTCTGCCTGCCTTCTCAGATTCTCACCCTCTTCTGCATGTCTAAGTTTGCATTTTAATTATTTTCATAGTTCTCTAAGTGGTGGTAGGCTGGTCTCTTTACATATCATGCATAAGAAAGTATGTTCTGACTTAGTACCACTGAATTGTACACTTAAAAATGATGAAGATAGTAAATTTTATGTTAGGAGTGTTTAGCCACAACTTAAAAACTTTTGGAAAAAAGTTTGTTTTAAACTTTAGGATACTTTTAATATTTTTTTTGTAGGTTTTTGTAATGCCTCATTATAGTTTTCTCCCCTAGAATATCCCTTCTTTATAGATCTGTCTGTTCAGGTCTTTTCCAGTCTTCAAATTTTTACTGTGCTCCATCTTCCCCATAAATTTTCTCTTACCATTCTAGCTTTCATTAATTTAGCCATCCTCCAATTTTTAATGTATTAATCAGCTTCATGTAATTTATTATTCAATAATATACTACCTTGATCACTCACAAAGATTTTTTTTATTAAGATTATGATAGTTAACAACCTTGTGACATTACAGTTGTACATCATTATTAGTCATGTTGTAGTACACCACTTCACCCCTAGTGCCCACCCCCCAACCCCCTTCCCCTGGTAACTACCGATCAGTTCTGTTTGTCTATATGTTAACTACCACCTATGAGTGGAATCATACAGAGTTCATCTTTCTCTGCCTGGCTTATTTCACTCAACATAATACCCTCAAGGTCTATCCATGTTGTTGTGAATCGGATGACTTTGTCCTTTTTTATGGCTGAGTAGTGTTCCACTATATATATATATATATATATATATATACACACACACACACACACCATATCTTCTTTATCCAATCATCAGTTGCTGGGCACTTAGGTTGGTTCCATGACTTGGCTATCGTGAATAATGCTGCGATGAACATAGGGGTGCATGGGACTTTTGGAATTGCTGATTTCAGGTTCTTAGGATAGATACCCAGTAGTGGGGTGGCTGGATCATAAGGTATTTCTATTCTTAACTTTTTGAGGAATCTCCATACTGTTTTCCATAGTGGCTGCACCAGTTTGCATTCCCACCAACAGTGTGTGAGGGTTCCCTTTTCTCCACAGCCTCTCCAACATTTGTCACTCTTGGTTTTGGATATTTTTGCCATTCTAATAGGTGTAAGGTGATATCTTAGTGTAGTTTTGATTTGCATTTCCCTGATGATTAGTGATGATGAGCATCTTTTCATGACTCACAAAGATTTTAATTCTCTTCCCAATGAGATATGACTTAGGTACTTAGCATTGTGCTTAACGTGTAGGCTTTTAACCTAGTATTGGTTGGTTGATGATTGATGATGAAGGGTTCCTGAGGAAAATGCCACCATAAATTGTTTCTGTTATAATCTTAGATGCCTCAAAAGTGAAAATTTTTGAGACTTTGAAATTGTTTTCTATTTCTTAATTATCCTAAAACTGCTTAGGTCGAGCCTCAGCTTTTGTAAAGTAGAATTTGTCAATCCTTTAATTAGAGTACTGTCTCCTATGATGAGTTTAAGAGTATGAGCATAGGGTCGGATGGATGGAGGTGGCATCAAGAACATTATGTACTGGCCATCTTTGAAATTAGTCCAGTGTGAGCTTTTAAAATTATACATGTACTTAGAGAAAAGTCTGGAAGGAAATATATTAAAAGACTGTGTATTAGTACTTAAAGTCGCATTGTAGAAGGAAGGTAGGAGTGACGGGTAGGTGGCTTGCTTGCCTTAGACTGATTTAGTTTTGTGTTCAGTGTTCTCTCCAAGAGGCCTGTGCAGGGGTCTGGAGAACAAGGTTCCAGTACTGATTTCCACCTGGGACTAATTGTGCCTTGTGTTTTTTCACTTAAATTATTACTTCTGTTTTTCTTTAAGAAAATATTTTAATTCAAAGAGATGTTTTGGGGGAACATAAATTCCTATTTGTTTTATGACTTCCGGAGAAATTATGGAAACGATTTAAGCATATGGTGAGGGAGCCAATACAAAATACCAGATTGTCAGTTCAAATATTGAAATCTTTATCAAACTTTACTATTATTTCAAGGATACAGGCAGTTGAGAGGCACAGAAGAGCAGAGAGTACCTCTAGCCAAGACCCTCCTTCCTGCAACACACGTGCCCTGTGACCCACAGTAATAGCTGAGGTCTCCAGGTGATGTGCATAGATTTCTCACAAAGCAGGGAATGCTTTTGGGTTTGAAACATCTCCCTTTTATACCCATATAATATCATATCTTATGTGGTATTTTATAGGGAGCCATGTTCCATAAATCTATAGATTCTATGTTTGTTTGCCAGAACCCATCCTAAATTAGGGACATCCTGTTGGAAGCATTCCATGAAGAGGGACTCTTTTCTTAGGTAACACCATCAATTTATTTATGAGGTGGTTGGTTATTAGATTATTGACATGATTCCAAGGGAGTGAGATCTGGTCACCTGCCTTTTTTTCTCAGGAGTGTGCCCCTCCTTTTTCTCCCTTTCTCCTCCCCACACAGAAAGCTCATTGTAGGTCAGATGATCAACTCATTTCTTCCTGTTGAAGGAACAAAAACATTCACAATCTAACTTCCTGAGGGTGGTTATAGTTAATATCTTGGTATATGTCCTTTTAAAACCATTTTCTCTGGGTATGTGTATGCATATATGCTTTAAAATAGTGAGCCTATACTTATGCAGGATCTCTAAGTACTAATGTCAGCATTTTTGAGTACCAGTGCTTTTCTCTAAAGCACGTAATTGTTTTATGAGTGAGTGTTCTGTGGGGACTGTTTGAGCGCATCCTCTGTACCTGCTCATCCTGAGTCACAGCACCAGACTTTATATGAGTAGGACTGAGCTTCAGTTTTCCTGGAGACCTATTAGGAAGCCATATAGTGGAGCTAATATCTTATAAGAAGGATTCTTCTCTAAATTTTGTAATTCAGTAATCCACCTGAAACAGGATCCAAGGCAGACCTGCCTTTTATTGAATTTTGTTTTGTTTTAAATTCTGTATATCATAAGGAATGATCTCATTGTTAAATATGTCTATTTGTGCTATGCCCATACTTTCTTACTCAAGCTAGAATTGTTTGGATATGATCTAGATTGAAGCAAACTCTGTTTGAGGCGTTGCTTTGAATTTATGTGGATAGTACTTAGCCAAGTTGCATTTGAAAATGTCACCAATTTTATTGAGAATAGATTAACAGCCTCATATTTCTTGAATTACAAACTAAATTGCCAATGAAGCATGTGATGTGTCTTGTGTCGTACACTCCAGAGAATCCTTTGGAATAAGACGATGTTTGACTTTGTGGTGTAAACTGTGGTGGTTGTTATTCTCCACAGGGGCCTGGAAGAATTCTGCGGAAGAGTGGACAACAGAAGACTGGACTGAAGATGTAGGTGTCGAGCGTCGGATCAGACTCCTCTTCCTTCTGGTTCCTGGTGGGGGCACGTGTGCTTTGAAGAAAGCCCGAGACTCATGCCTGTTCTTGGCTCCTTTTCAGACATCTATGATTACCATGTTTTTTTAGCAGATGCTTCTCAGAAGGAAGTTCGTGTTTTGAAATTCTTAAGAAACTTGGTTTTAAAGCGTCTACTTAAAAATGACCAGATGTAGGGTCTGGCCTGGTGGTGTAGGTGTTAATTAAGTTTGTGTGCTCCACTTTGGTGGCCCAGGGTTCATGGGTTTGGATTCTGGGCGCAGACCTACACATGACTCATCAAGCCATGCTGTGGCAGCCTCCCACATGCAAAATGGAGGAAGGTTGGCATAGATGTTAGCTCAGGGACAATCTTCCTCACCAAAAAAATAAATTAATTTAAATGACCTGATGTTAAATAGGACTAAAATCATTTTTTAGCTTATCTTTGTTTTCTTTGGCCTGATAACCAGCAGATGCTACTGCCCTGACCTATGAACCATTAATTATTCTTTATAATGTTTTTATTAAAGGAGAGAGTCTTTGTTTTGGACTCGCTTGAATAAGTCATTCTGGTTCTAGGTCCAACCCCTTCCCCTTTCAGCTAGGCTGGTTCTTTTTGTATTCATTATTCCACAGACATTTTTGAGTGTACTGCAATAGCTTCTGGGTAATGTCAATCTGTAAGTTCTGGGTTCAGCATAAGATATTCTTTGATAAAAAGTATTTAACTTAAATAATGAAAAAGAAAAAGTAACTGTACTAGTCCTATACCATGTTTACTGTTTTTCTGTTTGGCTCTCAAGACCCAGAATAGAAGTATGTGCATGATAGGGAATTTCAGCAGACACTAAGGGGGAAAGAATAAAGGGATTGCAAGTTTTGACCTTCAAAATCACATGAAGTGACCCAGACTTTTGATATTTTTTTTTTGAGATTTTTTTCCCCTTTCTCCCATCTTGTACTCACAAGTTTGTTTGTTTTTTTAACTGCACTTATGCATCCTTCCTTCTTTAGCAGTATTATATCTGGCTCGTTATGGAGTGAGCTGGGGCGGATGTGAGGAAGGAGAACCGATAAGCTAATTTGATTGGGATTTGGGAGATTTAGGGTATATTTTCATTTCTGCCACACACTGAGCACAAGTCCTGGGGGTGTGATGTTACCCGGTTTTCTGTTACCTGTAATAGGAAGCTGGACTAGATGGGTGGTTATTTGAATCAGTGGAGGGATGGGTACTGGTGATAGTGTGAAATCAGCGAGCAGCCTATGGACACTTTACCTTATTTCAAACAGAGCCATTTACTTTGAAGTGTTTTGTGTTACTAGAATCTTTGGTAAGACTTTGGAGAAGAGAAAGATTCTAGGGCTAAAAGCTCTACTTCTTTGCCTGTTTGGTGCAGCAGACAGGTTAAAAAATCAGCAGGGGATCGGAAGGCAAAAGGCCTGTATTCGGATTCTAACTGGGTTGCCCTGTTGACCTGGGACGAGGCATCTTTCCTTTCTGAGCCCCCTGTCCTTCATCTATGTAATGAATATCATAACTGTCATGCCTAACTCATGGGGTTTTTCTCTGGGTCAGATGAGGTCTTATGATGGAAGTCTGCTAACCAGCAGTACAGTATACACACACAGAGATAGTAATGTTCTGCTGTAAAGGCCACATTGCATCACAATGTAATTTATAATTACTGAAAGGTAGTATCATAGGGAATTTGGACATCTTTTCTCAGGAATTATCAAAAAATTTTTTAAGTTTTCTGAGATGTTACAAAGTAATGGTGATTGAAAGGTGAGTACTCTAAAATGCAAATCCTAAAATTCCTTGTAAAGCTTAGAATAATACCTTCTCAACTTTTACCCCTCTTGCCCATTTTTTAAAAAAAGACAGAAGTAGGAAACAGTTCAGCCTTCACACAGGGTGTCCACTGATTAATGTGGTTCTTACTTCCCTTGAACTTACTAATATTTTTAAGGCTTTAGATCTATTCTATCATTGCTTCTCGTAGAATTACTCTTTATTGCTTCTCTCTTTGTCTTAACTCTATTTAATTTGTAAGCTTCTTTAAGGCAAAAATGGGTTCCTTGGGTCTCTTAAGATACTACCTTGGAACAGGGTGCAGCATAAGCCCTGCTTGTTGAATCAGTTGTCAGTTCAGCACTGTTTGTTTTAACAGAAGATGAACACCTGCTGTGTGCTTTGCCCCGTCTGAATATTAATGTCTGAGGAAGTCTGATTTTATACAGTGTTTCAGAGTTATGAGACATTTAAAGTTGCTAAGAATTATAGCAGTCTTTAAATAGCATTTTTGTTAGTTTCTCATATTCTCTCTTTAGATCAACATTTATCAGCCTTTACAAGCCCATGCCCTGCTTTGAAAACATAAAAAGAGCCTACCTTTCATTAATCTCATTTGAGGTTTCAAAAAGTTTTGTCCTGGGGCTGGCCCGGTGGACCAGTGGTTAAGTTCACACGTTCCGCTTCTCAGCACCGGTTCAGATCCCGGGTGTGGACATGGCACTGCTTGGCAAAAGCCATGCTGTGGTAGGTGTCCCACGTATAAAGTAGAGGAAGATGGGCATGGATGTTCGCTCAGGGCCAGTCTTCCTCAGCAAAAAGAGAAGGATTGGCAGTAGTTAGCTCAGGGCTAATCTTCCTCAAAAAAAAAAAATTTTGTCCTGTGTGCCTTAAAAGTGCATTAAAACAATACGCATGAATCTCATAATAATTATGGTGAATGAAAGAAGCCAGACAGAAAACATTGCGTATTTTTTTATCCCACTTAAAATTCTAGAAAATACACCCTTATCTATAGTGACAGAAAGCACCTTAGTGGTTGCCTGGGGAGAAGGTGAGTGGTGGGAGGGATTGATCACGCAGGGACAGGAGCAAACTTTTGGAGTAATACTTGAGTTGGTGATGGTTGTATGAGAGTATGCATATGACAAAACTCATTCAGTTTGAATATTTGCAGTTATTGTATGTGTTACACCTCAGTAAAATTATTTTTATAGAAACAGCAAGGAACCCTATGACTTAATAAAAAAAGAAATATAAATTACTAATGTGAAGTACTAAAACCATGAAAATATAAATTACTGACGTGAAGTACTAAAACCATGAAAATATAAATTACTAATGTGAAGTACTAAAGCCATCTGTCTTTGGGGAAAGAAGGCATCAATTATTTTGCCTTTTCAAACTTCCCTACTGCTTTCTGGCGTTAAGCTGACATTGGTGGTTTTACTGGTGCTCTCACGTTTCATAATAGCGTGGTGAGACTGGGACTTCAACCCTGCTCTTACCTGGCTTCCCTGTGTTGTTCCCCTGATGTGAGATCGTTGTTGTGGGCTTATCCGTCTGGAATCACCTTCACCTAAAGAAAATTACTTGTCCTGATCACTTGTATGTTTCTTTTTTCCTTTAGACCACGTTTTGGGTAAACCATAATGAGAGTACTGGTGACTAAAAATTGTCAGGTATTTGTTACATTTTTGGTTTGCTATTATATAGAATAAAATTAAAATATTTTTTTCATCCTTTCCATACAGCTTTCTGAAACAAAGGTCTTCACTGCCTCGTCTGTTCCAGTGGAGAATCCTGTCACACCTGGGCCAAGGTAAACACGTTTGCCACCTTTTGTTTGCTATTCAAAGCGTAATTGAAATTTCTTGCCTCAGGAAAAGTGTTTGGTTCTTGCATGTCTTTCTGTTCTTTACCCTTTTCTTGAATCTGTTTCTGTTTTTCTCTTTTCTGTCTAAGACTTTGTTTTATCCCTAACCTACCTGCTGAGCTGGCAGAGCCTCCATCATTTCCTAATTGACTGGATCCGCTGATGAATTCAGATAGCAATTATGTTGGTGATTTGTTACCATTTGTGGCAGAGATTATGTTAAACCTATTTTTTTTGTTTTGAGGAAGGTTAGCCCTGAGCTAACTACTGCCAACCCTCGTCTTTTTTTTTGCTAAGGAAGACTGGCCCTGAGCTAACATCCATGCCCATATTCCCCTACTTTATACGTGGGACGCCTACCACAGCATGGCTTTTGCCAAGCAGTGCCGTGTCCGCACCTGGGATCTGAACCGGTGAACCCCGGGCCGCGGAGAAGTGGAATGTGTGAACTTAACCACTGTACCACCAGGCCGGCCCCTGTTAAACCTATTTAATGGTTGTTCTTTTTTTACTTTTGTAAACATTGTTTTTTGACAGATGAACTCAATACAAAATATCCTGTGGTTTCTTCATATGATACCATTTATTTAGATTTTGTTTCATATGAGCTCTACTAGTTTTTATCTACTAGTCTCATAGATCACAGAAAAGGAAGGAGCTTTTGAGGGTAAAAGAAACATTGTTAAAATGTGTACAAAACGGAATTATTGAAAAGCATTTATTTACATCCTAGTTATCACAATAGCTCTAAAAACCTTTGATTATGGTTTCAAAATGCAGTCATCTAAAAGGATAAAAGCCTTGATAGATATGACACCTGAGAATTGAAGGCAATTTTGAACCTAGCATGCTCAATCTTGTGTTAAATGAGATGGTTATAAGACTCCATTATGAGAAATAAAAACTATCAAAGGTTTTATGTCTTGCAGTATATTGTTTTGTGAATTGCTCAGAATTTCTTGTTAATAGGATACAACTTCTTCATTGTATTGATTACTCAGTGAATTTGATAGAATCATTTTCTTTTTATTTTTAAATATTAAGTGGACTTTTCTAGTAGTTATTTTTCAGAAGACAGCGCTGTAGTATTTTTCATGCATAAGTCTTATCAAGCTTTTGTAATAGAACTTGCTCTGTTTTTTGTAGTAGTCAACTTTTGAGATGGGTCATTTCTAATATGACTACCCTGGATTTGTATCCCTGGAGTAGGGATATCATGAGCTAGAACATTACCTCAGGATCTGAAATCTTAGTGTGGGACTAGAGCCTGGTTATGGGAAAGTGAGAATGGTAGAGCACAAGGAGAGGAGCTCAGACCTGGCAACTGCGCTCTGTATCAGGAGTGAATCTTGACTTATTTGATCTCCCAACATCTGCCTCACTGGCCTGGTGAGAGTATGAGTTAGGAGAGCTGACTGGGAGCTGGCCCTTTGAAACTCTTTCGTGAAGCACGTTGGCGTGTTAGGTAATGCTGTGCCTCGCAGGTCGTGTAGAGAAGTGTTAAGCAGCTCACCCACATGTCAGGTAGTGTCTGTCTGGAGGACCGTTTCTTCCTCGTGCTTTCAGGTTTTCAGGCCATGGTTTGCAAATTGGATTATCTGTCTTTCTTGGGGACATTACCAGAGTTCTAATTAACAGAGTCTTTGTTAATATTTTGTGCCTTTTTTCCCTGAATATTTAAGAGAGAAAATTATATGAGATTCATATAACCCTAAGTATATTATGTGGTGGAATGCAGAACTTACAGTAAATGGGGAACTGCTTGAATGGTCAAGTAAGGCTGTTGTCCTCATTCCCCAAAAATAAGAATTCACTCCCCTTTAGGAAAGTTTGAGAGACACTGGTTCCAAATAATAAATGGGGCAAAATATTCTAAAGGAAATGAGCTAGACTTCAGGAAATTGCTTGTTTGCTCAGTTCCTCCAGGTTTTCAAATCACTTGTCATTGTGCCATTTCTGTGGAAATACACACCTTTTCCTTTCCCTTCTCTGCATAGCCCTGCTTCAGTCTTTGTGGCTTCACATATGCTTTTTTTGGTGATTGTTGCCCTCCTATTGGCTCCTTAAACTCCAGTTTCCAAAGGTGTTCCTCACTTAGATAGAATTGACTTTATATTGCTTCACTTCTCAAATTCATTTGCTGGTAAGATTTGCTTATGACTCGCTCCTCATTTGCCTTTTGTCTGCTTAGCATTGACCTGGTCGCCTTGCTCCAGAAGCCTGTTCCTCCCAGTGAAGCCTCAGAAGTCAGCTCCTTTGAAACTTCCCAACAGCAGGGCTTTGGCCAAGCCCTTGTCTTCACAAATTCTCAGCACAACAGTCAGATGGCACCAGGGACGGGCAGCTCCACTGCTGTCAACTCCTATTCTCCTCAGAGTCTGGTAACTCGCTTTTATTTCAGTACGGGGTTTTAAGGAATGTGCCCATGAGCAAATGTATTCTAGAATGACACATGCCTTATAATTTTCTAAATAGAAAATTTCTACAATAGATCTCAGTCCAGAAGACAATGATGTGGTAATTTCCAAGCACATATCTGATGATTCCGTGTGGAATTCAACTACTCTGAGTTTTCTGGACGAAGATAAAAATATTTCTTTATGATTGGTTGAAGTCTTTTCCGTCATAATCACTCAGTCAGGCGTCCTTCTTATAATGAACTTTTTTTCTTGGATTTTGTTTCAAAGTCTGTCTCTATACTTAAAATGTTAAAATTTTCATTTCTTTTCCAATTTACTTAAATGCAAATGTTGGTCAGTATTGGCTTGCTAAAATCATGCAAAAACAGTTCTTTCCAAGTCTGCCTAGGTGCTTACATTTTTTGCATTTTTATTTGTTTTGTTCCGTAAAATTAGTGTACTTTTTCTTAAAATGTCACACAATGTAGTAGAGGTCTTTAAAATTTGGATGTGTTTTCACTGAAACTGTCATTTGCTGCTGCATCTGCAACTCTGACATCCCATGAGAATTAAGCTCCCATCAGAAAGAACTTCAGGAACTCTTAGTGAAGAATGTGAAGATAGGCTGATGGCAGTAGAAGCTTAGACCTTAGATGAAAGAATGGAGCTGTGGAACGGGGACCTGAAGCCGCTGCCTAACTGCAGGCACTTCTGAGTGGGCAGTGGGGACTTCAGAAGGACCGTAAACATAGATCCACAGCTTTCACTAGTGACAGTTATTTTGGTTCATTCTTTGTTGTGTGTTACTTGAAATCTACAGTTGAGAAACAGAATTTCTTATAAATATAATACAATTTTTTCCCCTACCTGACTCAAAATCATTTACCTGTACTCTAATAAAATGGAGAGTCGAATAAGCACATTTTTCCTTGCTGTGTTCTACTCTGCACAGTCATATCATGTCAAGTATAACTGGCTTGGGCATTTGTCAGTTTTAGTGTCATTGATGATCATATATGGGAGTATATCAGTGCTGCAAGTGGGACAGCCCAAGGCATGGTGCCATCTCTGTTTCGGGAGGGGCTAATGATACCCCTGCCTTTTTATTGAACCATCTGTGTCCTTTCCTCCTCTGCCTTTCCATCGCTGTTGGTACACTGATGTAATGTCCTTGCTGACTTGCTGGAATCTCGCCCAGGCCACTGAGAGGATAGGTAGGACGTGAGTTGTTTTTTTTTTACAGTGACGTTTAGGTGTGTTGCTTTTGTTATGAACAACACCTTGAGAAACTGGAATATGAATTATTCATTTAGCATATTAGAGCCATGGTTCTCAACCCTACTGTACTTTTATAATCAATGGGGAACTATAGTAAATAACATAATAGTGATGATAATAATAAGAAAATAATGCCAAAGTCTATACAAGGCCAAATAAGTCAGAATCTTTGGGATTGGGGTTAGAATAATTTTAATTGTTCTAGCACTCGTGTGTGTTTGTGTATATGTGAGTGCATGCACACATGTGCATGTGTACCGATACACACATTTTTTAAAGTGCCCCTGTTGATTGAAATGTGGAGGTGGGATTGAGGAGCCCTGTGCTAAATGTTACCTGGGGCAAGGCGGTAGTCGTTGTCTTGGTGATTTCACTGTGTTGTAACGTACACGGAAAGTGCCTTTGGTACAATTAGGTGATGCAGGATAGAGATTATGTAGGAAAAGAGAGGAAGAAGAGAAGCATCATCCAAGGAGCCTGCATTGAACACGAGGGCTTGAGCTAGGTTTTGGTGGATGCATAGCGACATAAGAACGTTGGTGGGCAGTGTGAGCAAAGATGCTGGAGTCGTGATTAGTAAGGTCAGCACAGTTGTTCTGATAGGAGCGGATTCGATGAGTGACATGGGACAGCTGCCCACAACCTAAAGTTTTGCTCACAGTGGAGAATTTGGATTTCCTAGGACAATGGAGATACTCCATGCCTTTGGATATTGATAACAGAAATAATTATTTCAACTTTCTGGATCTGGCCTCTTAGGGAATGCAAATCATTTCTGTTTTTGACCTTTTAGATGGTTTTGAAAAGTTATTTTTGACAAAGAACTTATCTTTTCAGAAATATGAATGATCTTGATATGTAAAAATGCAGTTGATCTGTATATTGTGTACTCTGGTCATAAGCCTTCATTCTCTTTGGATCTTGATGTCTGACCTGACAGGACGGATAGGGGAGGTGTGACATTCTTTTGTATACTTATTTATATTTGAGGATATCTGGTTTCTTAGTCATCTAAACAGCTTGAAATAACCACCGCAGCGTCCAGGGCATCTGCTAAGTACACAGATAGCTCCTGTGTAATTCGTGTCTGAGTGTGGAACACTGATGTTTTAAGAAGTGCTGTGACCTGCATTTGATCTTGCAGGGTGACCTCATGGCTGATCTCTGATCTCTTCTGTGACCAAACCTATTCTAATCATTAAAGATGATTACTGTTCCACACATTAAGAAAATACTGTATTTTTGTTTTTCAAGTGTGTATTTGTCATGTAATTCCTGGGATACCCCTTATTTTAAAGAACTATTTTGATTGTAAACTTGTGACATCAATTTTTTAAAAAAAATCAATTTCTTACAATTCAGGGAAACTATTCCCCTTCCTTTTAATCTCTTATATCAGAATCAAGAAGTATTATTGGGTTTATTTAGTCAGATCTTGTTGCATAGTAATATTTTTATGTAGCATTTACTCAGATAAGTCTAACTAATTCAGATATTCTAGGCTATAGTTTTTAAAATCTTTGTGAAAATACTTGGACTGTTTAAAAGCCTAGGGTAGAAATACTGTATTGCTGAGGATTTCTGCTTTTCTTTCCCTTCAAAGTCATCCGTCCTTGGTTCAGGATTTGGAGAGCTTGCACCTTCAAAAATGGCAAACATCACCAGCTCCCAGGTCTTGGACCAGCTGAAAGCTCCAAGTTTGGGCCAGTTTACCACTACCCCAAGTTCACAGCAGAACAGTACGGGTCCCCCCACAACCACTGCTTCTTGGGACCTCAAGCCCTCAGCCTCCCAGTCCTCAGTCCTCAGTCATTTTGGTAAGTGTACCTTCTGTGTGCTGTTGCCCCTGGTGAGGACGTGCTGAACCCTAGCAGACGTGTTGACTGGGGACACTAATGTGGACTCTGTTCACAGATGCTGCTCTTTAGTGGAACTTCTGTGGAGCTTCTGAATTAAATCAGTCAGCTTTGTATTGTATAAATACCTGCATTTACTTGTTATTATTAGTACCTACCTTGAAGAGATGTGCAAAAGCATGGTAAAGGCATGCAGATACAAGGAGACAACACTTTGAGTAAATGCCTGGACAGAAGTTTCTGAGCTCTAGTAGAATAGGGTGGTGACACAAGGTGGACTGATGGACAGCATTTTAAATCACACCCTCTGGGTTGCTTTCTCATTCTAACATTTGCATGCATCCACCATGATTTGGTCCAGCCCCACTGTCTGTGGTTTGTAATTTAAAGCCACCATGTCTAAGTTGGGTGTTTTCTAAACTATACTCCCATTGACATTGTGACATTAAAACCACCATTCGCCACCAGTACACACATGCCACCCTATATTATCCATAATCCATATCAGGGCATTACTTTAACCAGAGGGTTGGCTGTCTGGACTGGTTTATGTTGAGGGCATGTGGAGACAGGGAGGCTCTTTTCTCTGCTGAACGAAATGGCTTACTGTTTTGGAATTATCTGAGACTACTCCCAGGTTTGAAGTGATGTCTCCCAAGGAGAGTCATTAGAGACTCAGTGCCCAGGGTTTTTACTGGGGGGCTGTTTATGTAGGTACCCTCTGCCTAGTACGTAGCAACATTCCTTATTCTTAGAAGGAAGGCAGGTGTTCAGCATAAACCACATTGTACAGACAGTCTGGGCATAGAGAGTCACTCTTATCAGTTGGAGTGTTGGCACCATTTGCCTAGAACAAAATTCCATGTTCCCAGACACCAGCCTGGAGCCAATCTTGCAAGCCAGCGTTTCTTATGGAAGCTGTAGGCCTTCTGTGTTAACTTCTTTTTGTACACTTACTAATGAGTGATAGGAGTTTTTCGATTTGAGCATGCTATTCTCATATTCCTTGTAAAGCCTGTTTTTTTTGGTACATGCCTCTCATCAAGTCCGAAAATAGATTCATCTAAGATGGAAATATATTGAGTCATGAGCTGGCAAAGCTTCGATTAGGTTTGCTGCCTGTTTTTGTAAAGGCAGTTTTATTGGACCCACAGCCATGGCCATTCATTGACGTTCTGTCTGTGACTGCTTTCAGTCTACAGGGCAGAGCTGGGTAGTTGCTAACAGGTGGCCTTCAAAGCCTAAAATATTTGCTATCTGGCCCTTTGCAGGAAAAGATTGCCAGCCTCTCTCTTATATGACAGAGGTAGCGTTTCACAACGGTGGTGAAAGTGCGGTTTATTCCTATTGGATATCTGACTGGAAAATGAAGTTGGATTCCTAACTCCCACTCTACAGCAAAATGCCAAAAGGGTCAACTATTTAAACGTAAATAGTGAATTTAGAACAATAATAGAGAAAAACATAGGAAGATTTTGATATACGCTGTGTGAGGTGGACCTTTCTACGTATGACAGGAAGCACCATAACCAAATCAAAAGGCGGACAAACTATGAAAAAATATTTGAAAACCATATTACAGGCAAAGCGCCAAGTTCCTTCATATAGAAAGAGTAGCTAAAAATTCCGGAGACCGACAATGAAGTAAAAAAAACAACGATCAGAGAGGTTGGATGGTGTTCATGGGCAAAGGGCACCTCAGTGTGTGAAACGAGGCTTCTCCTGTCTTGTATCATTTTTATTTGCATCCTTTATGCCGCTTACCACCCATCAAACTAGGAAGGATAAAAGTTTAGTATTAGAGTATTGTTAAAAAGTGTTTGTTTTATCTATGCATAGGAAATTTGAAGTGTTTGTCAAAATTTAAAGCATAGTTACTCTTTGAACCAGCAACTCTGTCCTAGCAACTAATCCTGCAGGTGTACTTGCGCTTGAACAAAGTGTCTCCATAAAAATACACTTAATGCAGCGTTGTTTTACATAGCAAGGAACTGGAAGACCTGTAAGTCCGTTAGCGTAGTACTGGTTTTAGAAAAACGATACCTCTGTAGACTGGGTTACTGTGTAGCCATAAAAATGAAGTAGCCCTTCATACATTAATGTGGAACAGTCTCTGAAACTGAATGGTTTGTGGGGAAGCAAGATAGATATACACACACACCCACACACACACACACGTGCACAGGCCATGTATGTGTCTGTATATTGAAACAGTATCTCTGAAGATATTCCAGAAACTTGGGTACAGTGCCTGCCTCTGTGGAGTGGATCTGGGGATAGGTGTGGAAGGATGATTTGTATTTTTCATGTACATTTTCATAACTTTTGGGTTTTGTAATGTCATTTATGTTAGTGAAAAAACAATAAAGTAATTTTCAAAAGTTTAGTACAAAATCCATAAAGCATACAAAAATATAATTCTGTTAGCTAAAGGCCAGATGCATGCTGTCCTTCCCTGCTCCCCACCCCACGTGCTTTAGCACAAACTGTATCTCCTCTCTGCACAGGAGGTTAGGTGCAAACCTACTCGGGCATCCTTTTCCGTTTCTCATATACCACTTATTACGCATCACACACACACATACCTCTTATGGGACTCGGCTGCAAGATGGTTGGGAGGAACTGGTGGTGACTGTAACCCTTCGCGCTCAGTGATGGTGGAAGAGAGAGCTCTAAGCCCGTGCTCCTAAATAATTGATTGTTGCTTGCTTTCTTCCCCTTCTCCCCTGTTGCATATTTCATAGACTTCAAATCTCAGCCTGAACCATCCCCAGTTCTTAGCCAGCTGAGCCAGCGACAGCAGCACCAGACTCAGGCAGTCGCTGTTCCTCCTCCTGGGTTGGAGTCCTTTCCTTCCCAGGTGAAACTCCGAGAGTCCGCCCCCAGAGACAGTACCTCCACTGTGAACAAACTTTTGCAGCTTCCTAGCATGACTGTTGAAAACCTTGCTGTGTCTGCCCACCAACCACAGCCTAAACACATCAAACTCCCTAAGCGGCGGATTCCTCCAGCTTCTAAGGTGGGTTTTCTGTTGCAAAGTCACAGTCTCAAAGGTGGATGTATTTTAACATTTGGCTTAAGTGTTGGCTTAGTAAGTCTCATAAGTTGTGATGTGCTGTTTTTCGAGCACATAGTTTACTGCTGTGTGAGGAATCGGCCGTTTCTGAGTGATTGGGTTAACGGGAGAGGGAGTGGGTGTGTGCTGAGGGGCAGACTTAACTGAGTGACTGGATCTGGCTCAGAGAGTCTGCTGGTCTTGTGTATTTAGCTGGGCCCTTAGTAGATAGAGGATGAGTGCTTCTGTGACCAGATAATGCTTTCCTCAAAGGCCCACTCTCCTCCTTCACTCATCCACGTCCCCCACTCCTGGGCTTCCCACTGCTCCAAGAAGCAGTTGGTGGCACTGACCAGACTTCTGTTAACTTTTGAGTTTTCTTGGCTCTTTTCCTTTCTCTCTTTTAAAAATCCTATTGCTTTTTCCTTGCTTTTGACCTCTTGCTCTCTGTTCCTCAGGCCTGCCACGAGTTCCCTGGAAACCTGTCCCCGTTGGGCTCTGCGATAGACCTTTGGGATTTGGAATCCCTGCCCTCTGTTGCTGACGTGATTGCTTTGCTTTTCAGATCCCAGCTTCTGCAGTGGAAATGCCTGGGTCAGCAGATGTCACAGGATTAAATGTTCAGTTTGGTGCCCTGGAATTTGGATCAGAACCATCTCTCTCTGAATTTGGATCAGCTGCAAGCAGTGACAATAGTAACCAGATTCCCATCAGCTTGTATTCGAAGTCTTTAAGGTATACAACTTCCCACTTCTCTGGTTTTGACTGAATTAGAGCCCAAGAAACCACCTGATGGGACAATACACCCTGTGGTAGTGGGTCTGTGCAGCCATCACTGTATCTGGGTGCAGAACTTTCTTTCAGCACCCTGAAAAGAAACGCTGTGCCTGTTAGCAGTCACTCCCCATTTCCCCTCCCTCATCCCCTGGCACTGATCTCTGTCTCTGGATTTACCTCTTCTGGATGTTCATTAACTGGAATCGTGCAACCTGTGGCCTTTTGTCTCTGGCTCCTTTCACTCAGCATTGTGTTTTCGAGGTTCATCCACCTTGTAGCCTGTGTCCATTGTGTTTCCGAACAGTGGTTTGTTGTGCAGATAGAATCGTGTTCTTCATCCATTCATTTTGATAGACATTTAGGTTGTCTCCCCTTTTTGGCTGTTGTGCATCTACTGCTATGAACATTCAGTTACAAAGTTTTGTATGCTTCCACTTCTTTTGGATATACACCTAGGAACTGCTGGGTTGTAGGGTGACTCTTCTGTTTAAGCATATGAGGAACCATCAGACCTTGTCCACAGTGGCGGCAGCATTTTGATTCCTACCAGTAATCTGTGAGGGATGCAATTTCTGCACATCTTTGCCAACACTTATTTTTCTTCAGTGGGATATTTTATAGAGAATCCCCGATTTTACATTTTATTTTATTAATTTTTCTGCTTTCCAGAGCCAAAGCCTGATCTTTGCTTGGGTTCCCTTTCTAAAGATGGTCTCAGACATCTGGAGTCCTTAAAGATTCTTAAGGATTCTTAAAGATGTCCCCCTGCCTGTCAATCAAATTAGGTGTATCTGATTTTGTTGGTGGGGGCGATGGTTTTGAATCATATTTGCATCATTAATACATTTAAAGAATGCAGTAGTATAAATTTGTAATTACAGACATGTGTGTTTAGTTTAGACTATGACAAAGTGATGAAATAGTTTTACTTCTTGAAGCCATGTAGAGTGCCCCAGTGTTACGTCTGACACCTGTTCTTCTCTGTAGTGATTCTCTGAATACCTCTTCACCGATGACCAGTGCAGTACAGAACTCCACCTACACAACTTCAGTCACCACCTCCTCCAGTCTGACCAGCTCAACGCTGAGCTCCGCCAGCCCAGTGACAGCATCTTCCTCCTATGACCAGAGTTCTGTGCATAACAGGACCACATACCAAAGGCCTGGGAGCCCCACGGAGGCAGCCCCAGGAACTATCACGGTGAGCGGTCTTTCAGATTCCTTCTTGTAGAAAATCCTCTTTGGAGCTCAATGTGATGTGTAGTTCGGGAAATTAAGCTTTGTGGATGAGATTTTTCTTGTAGAAATTGGCTAACCTTTGGAGTAGAATCCTTGTAGTTTGCTCAATTTGCTAATAGTGGGCATCTCATTTGAAGCCTGGGTTTCAAGTCCCCACAGCCGGAGTTTGTGGTTGGAGGCCGAAGCTTCGTATAAGGGTGCGCCTGAGATTGTTCAGAGTGGTGTGGATGGGGTAGGAGGGACTGGAGTCTTATCTGTTAGATTTTAGTTTCTTGTAAGGCAAAAATGTTCGAGCATTACTAGTGAGAGCTACTTTGAAGTGTGTATGAGAACATGAAAATAATAAAAACAGTTGAATTGGCTTAGCAGAAATTTGGGTACATTTTTTTTTATTAAATTTCTTTCTGAGATTCTCAGGAGATATTTGTACATCTCAGCTGAAAAGTTTTTTTCTCTCTTCCTTTTATTTTCCATCTTTTATGTAAGATGTTTTCCTCAAGTGTTTGGTGATTCCAGGCCACCTACTTGACACTAGAAGGTTAACTGAGGGCTCTGGCTTATGGGGGTAGCTTGTTGAATGTGGGCTTTGATGTGAGACCGCTCAGGCAGGCTGTTTCTTTGGGGTGGGGAACTCCTCTGTCAGCCTCTTTGGGCCTTTTCTTTTCTTTTTTTTTTTTGAGGAAGATTAGCCCTGAGCTAACTACTGCCAATCCTCCTCTTTTTGCTGAGGAAGGCTGGCCCTGAGCTAACATCCATACCCATCTTCCTCTACTTTATACGTGGGATGCCTGCCACAGCATGGCTTTTGCCCAGTGGTGCCATGTCTGCACCCGGGATCTGAACTGGCGAACCCTGGGCCGCTGAGAAGAGGAACGTGTGAACTGAACCGCTGTGCCACCGGGCTGGTGCCCCTCTTTGGGCCTTTTCTGTTGAGCGTTTTTAGGTTCTCCCTGGACTGTTCTTCCAGTCTTCCCTGCAGGGCCTCTGCTTGTGTGTCAGTGTCTTAATGGCCTAGTGGGAAGAGAAGGCTGTGTTGGAATATTCGTTTTGTCTACACTGACTTGATCATCTGTTTTTACAGTAACCCCTGACCGTGTGTTACCCTTTTAGTGATGTGTAGAGCCTGTGGGAGAAGGTGGGAAGGGGTCTCCACCCTGCCGTGTAGAGTGTGGGGCGGGGGTACCTGGTTCTGTGCAGCCTTTAAGCAAGTCCTGCTACGTTTAGCCCTGCCTCCACTCCACTTGCACGGTTATCTTGTCTAGATAAGTACTGAGTTGCTTGGCACGGCGCTTTGCTGTAAGTTCCCTACTGCTGGCCTAGGGTTTGGCTTTACCAGGTTGGCTATGGCAGTTACCATTCTGTATATGCTTTCTAGTGTACAAAATTTTGTTGCTATCGTTTTTTTCACCTGTGTTTGTCTTTCTAGGTTTACATATTTTTAAAAAAGCCCCATAGTCTTGATCTGTCATCTTTAACAAGAAGTTTATTCTTGTGTTTTCCAATATGGTAACCGCTAGAAACATGTAGTAGTTTGCTTACATTAAATAGACAATTAGAAGTTCAGTTCCTCAGATGCACTAACCACATTTTAAATGCTCGATATTTACATATGGTTAGTGGCTGCAGTCTAGGACTGTGCACATAGAGAATATTTCCATTATTGCAGAAGGTTCTCTTGGGCAGTGTGGTCTGTCGTTTCTAGAACATCAATCAGACTGTACCGTCAGCCCTGAATCTCTGTCATCTCTGCACCTTCGCATCCCAGCTCTGACTCTGCCTCTGGTCCTGCCCATCCACATCTCTGCTCGGCTCCTTCCTTGCTCAGCTGGTCAAATGAAAACTCCGGCAGATTTCTCGTCTTGCTGACCATTTCATACTTCTCTTTAGTTTTCTACTTTTGTTCCCACTGTCTTCTGTGTAGAATTTCTGCCATCCCAAAGGACGTGGCTTCTGTGTTGTCAGTAGGTTCATTGTTTGTGTTTTAAAAGTGATTTTCAAGGTCGAATGAAATATTCCTAAGATCTGTTCTCGTTTTCTATTCTTGCGTCTGGTGTCGTTTTGAGAAGACTTTGTATGTCAGGCTTTGTGCTGTTCAGGAGGCACATGCTCGATGCCGGGTGTGTATGCTGAGTGAGCCATGACCTGGTTTAGAGGGAGGCGGAAGAACAGGACCTGGATTGCTCCCACCCATCTGCGTCTATTGTTGGATAAATACTGAGTGAAATGAAATACTATGTGGAATCGTGTGATACTGTTCATACACTCTCTGAGCCTCGTAAGCTCCATTGCCAGTCACTCTATGCCGTGGCTCCCCCGCTCAGTCTGGACGCAAAAGGTTTCCTTGTGAGGGCACCTCCTGTGTGTAGGCTCCAGTGAAGTGCCTTGGGGTTGTCTCAAACAACTTGTTTTCAGATTCTGCTCTTTTTGGGACTACCACGCTGTCCTAACACACTCTTTGCCCACATACTTGAGAAAAATCACATTTAAAGTAACATCTCTTTTTCTCTGAGAACCATTTTGCTAATAATATAAAACATGATAATTCCTTGTATGAAAGTTATCTTGGTTATAATTTGGAAACATTTTCTTTCTTACATGATTGGTACTCAGGAGACAGAATGTGCGTGAGACAGAAAGGCTTGTGGTGATTCTGATACAGTGAGAGTTCTAAGCCCGTTGTACTGCTTAATACGTTTTAGGACTTTCATTGCTTCTTGTGATTTGGGTCTTATGCTGTATCCTTGTAACTTCTCTAAATACCCTATCTGGTTTTCAGAAATGTCAGCTACTTGGGATTTATTAAGAATTTTTATATTGCTTCTCCTTTTATTAAAAAACAAAATAAAACAGATCATTGTCCCTTGATTAATCTGTACTTCATATGTTTGTGGCTAAATCCCCATAGAAAGTCATCTGGGTTTTCATTTGATTTTGTGGATTGACTTACGTTCTTTTCTCTTCTTTGTAGAATGGACATGGTGGTGGTCGGAGTCAGCAGACTGTAGACAGTAAGTATGGAAGCTACCTCTTCTTGTCATCGCTGGTGGGAACCAACCAGAAAAAGAGCATAACTTACGATGTTCCGGGAAAACAATAGGCCAGGGGCTAATTCTGCAAAAATAGTCCTTTTACCTTTTTTCCAATAGCTACTTCTGATCCATCATTGGCATCATTTCTTTGGCAGGGTTTAGAAGTTCAGCTAGAGCTTCCACGTGACCAGGTTGTAGCTGGCAGGGTTAGTAGAAATGGCATAGCCGCAGCAAGGAGCAATGGTCTCATAGTGTTCTGCCCTAGTCACACTGCACCCCGAGTGTAGACTGCAGTATGGATTTGAAGGTACTTTGCTCAGAGGCGCAGGTTCCAAGATGGTTACAGGGCTCTCACTCCAATAATGTGAAGGACTTTTAGAGCAAAAATGAGTGTGCTAGTTCAGGAAAGACATGCTCATTTCCTTCAGGGTCTGACGGACGAATGTGAGGAAGAGGGATAAAATTTTGCTCACTGTAAACACTTGAAAGGAAGTGAGGGGACCCCGCCCCCCAACTCGTCCAGCACAGTGGTCGCTGAGATGGTGCAGGTGAATCTTCAGTGGTGGTTTCCTTCCTTTGTTCTTGGCTGGCTCATCTGTGATTGTTGATGGTTTCCGTTCACCGTTCAGCAAAGTGAATGAGGATCCGCGATGAGGGTGTGGAGGCCAGAAAGACTCCTCTTTCCTTTAGGAGTTTCTCAGGGTGGACATGGGGTTTAACCAGACCAGGAGTGGGCTCAGTTGGAGCTGAAATGACATGTGATTTTCTGGAGTTGGTTTTGGTTTCGCTGGGCTGCCAGAGCTTTTTGGAGATAGTTGGTAGCTCTGAGAACGTTGGCTGTTAGAAGAAGTTCTCATCCCACCAGCTTTGGTGGCAGGCTTCTTTTGTCTAGACGTGGGGTCCAGCATAAATAGAGGTATGCTAGGTTACTGGAGATTTAAAATGAGATATGGAATGTCTGGAAAACAGTGTGCATTTTAGATAGGTTTTTATCTCCCATACTCTCTTCTCCACCCATTTCTCTCTCTCTCTCTCTCTCTCTCTCTCTCTCTCTCTCACTCACACACACACACACACACACACACACGTTCCTTGACAGGCTTTCTGTGCACCTGTTATCAATGTGATCCAAGACCCAGGGAGGTAGCTGGGGTCTGAGTTTTGGGTCAGGGGCGTCTGTGATGTCTTCATCTGGTTGCTGTAAGAACAGGTGCCATATTTGGAATAGACTGTCAGGAGTGTAACGACTGCTCTGAGAACCCACCAGGCTATGTGGTGACCCTGTAGCCGCCTATGTTTGTTTTCGAATTGCCCTTCCTTTTAGAGACGAGTGTGTTTTCCACTGGGCTCCCAGGGACTCCTGCAGGAAGTGTAGGTTGCTCCTCCTCCCTGACTGGAAAAGACGATGATGCTTTACTTCCAAGCACATATCTGAGTTGTATGTGTGGATATCACTAAAACTGAGTCTTTTCTGCCGCCAGGATTGATTGCATTCACGTTCTTTGGAAAAGCCTACTAAGCGCATTCATGTGCTCTGCGGTTTGTTCCGTTCGGCACACACAAAGGAATGCTGCCTGTGCATTTGAAGGCAGGTCTTGGCCAGCAGGTGTGCATCCGTGCAGAATTGGGGCATGTGTACGATCCACAGTGCACCTGGGCTCTCAGCCCCCGCCTGCCCTCAGTTGGCTGTGAGCTTCCACAAGGTCAGCCTGAGTTGATAGAAGCAGAGACCTAACCCGTGGGGGTCTTGGCCCACCAGCGTTTCCCTGTCCCTTGTTGTGCCTCTTGAGGAACATCTGCCTCGCTTTACAGTCCCACGTGTTGGTCTCTGGGCCTCTCACCTTTGCTGGATGCGGCTCAGGGTCAGGTTCCTCTGGTTGAGAGAAGTTCATCTGCATCACAGGACAGTTTATGATTATAAAGACGTCATTGCCTGCTCTGTTCCTGAGTCCTGTGTATCTGACGGTTGCGTGTCCTTTTGCTAGTCGTGACATGCTTGGGCATTTTCCCTGGGGAATGTAAATTTGTATATGTTTCAGCCGAGCCCAACATGTCACAAGACATTGAGCATATTTCAGATACTCCTGGTTGGTTCCGGAGCTAAACAGATCTGTTTCTTACAGCTACTTCATCCGTTCCAGCTCCAAAGACAACAGATTCTCCCTCCGCCCTCCCATCTGTGGGCTCCCTGCCCAGCACCACCTCCTGCACTACGCTTCTGCCCTCCGCCTCCCAGCACACTGCCACTTTGCCCTCCTTGTCCCAGCCTGGTGACTTGTCCAGCAGCCCCCTCTCTCAGCTTAGCAGGTATGGGGAAAATATGGGTCCAGAATGAGAGGCACACTGCAGCAAAGTCCTGGTTCCCTAATAGGGAGCTCTCCCCAGGAAGAAAACCCACTCGTTGCCCCAGCACGGCATCCTGGCCTTTGTATTAATGCTCTAGCACAGGCTTGGGCTGAGTGGAGTCTCAGAAACACCAGACATGAAAACCTTGCCTGCTTGTAATGCTTCTGCTGTCACACGGCACTGGGGCCCCTGGGAATGGGGTGGAGCCAAGGGGTCACTGCTCCTATCCTTTGACCCTCAGGAGGGGCCCCAAGCCTCGCCTTGCTCTCCTTCAGCTCTGGGCCCATGTCACTGGGCCATGGAGTGAGAATGGTGTTGGGTTTCTGAGCAGGTCTCTGACTTGCACTTGTCATGGCTTCAGAGATCCAGTTACCAGAACAGGGGCTGGGAGCATGGGTGCTGTTTGGTCCTCTGTCTGTGTCTTCTGAGTTGAGGTCACCTCTTTCTTCCTTTAGCCAGGAGCAAAAGCGTTTGATCTGAATTCTGGATTTGATAGGAATTCAGGCTCTGACTCTGGCATGTGGGTTGAATGTAGGAACTTTCTTCCCTCACACACAGACTTAACGGGGTCTCCAAGGCTGGCAGTGTTCTTAGTGCAATGCTGTTCTTAATTTTACAGTCTAAAGAGCAGATGGTTATAGTTGACTGAAGCTGGCTTTGGAGGTTTCCAGGCCAGGATGTCCCAGATACTCATGGCAAGTGACCCTTTAGATCATTTCTAACCAGGAGAACACCTGAACTGGGCTCCAAGTTGATAAGGAACGATGGGTGTGAAGCAGGGGCTTCCCTGGAGGGGACGGGGCAGGCTTATATCTAGCCCACCGAGGCACGTGGGCCCCATGCCTGTGGAGTGGCAGGTGGGATGGACACGTGGTGCTCTGTTTTGTCTTCTAGTTCACTCTCCAGCCATCAGAGCAGCCTGTCCTCTGCGCACGCAGCACTCTCCTCCAGCACGTCACACACAGTAAGTGTCCTCTGGGCTCCCTCCTCCAGCAGCCTGCCCAGCCAGTAGTCACACGCAGGGGCTTTAGTTTGTGGATTTGACTATCTGAGATCATCTTGAATTGCGTGGCTGTCTCAACCTAGGTACGTGGTTTGAGCTGTTGATTTCCTAGGCACCATGGAGGACGTCTTGCTTCCTAAGTTCATGCCTCCATGGAGGAATTCCTTCTCCAGACCAGATGTGTGATGGGCAGGGCTGTCGGTTGGTGAATTTGTTCCCAAGAATTTGCTGAGCTCCCTGTTTGTTATAGGAGACCTTTCTACCTGGCAGGGTTGGTTTTGTTTTCTGGGCTTGTTGGTTGAGGTATTTGCAGGCTCTTTAGAGGAAAGTAGGCTGCCGGCTCCTTGCTAACTGCAGCTGGGGTTCCGCTCAAAGTCAAGTTTAATCGAGAGCGCTGTTCCTGGGTAGCCCTGTTACTTTGTGAAGGCCGTTGTGGAGAGAATGCCTGAAGTTCTGGAAAAGGGACAGCTCACATGAGGAATACCCGTCCTTTGCCACGTGACACGCACACGTCCCTCTCTGAGACTGACAGCCTGGCTCTTGGCCCAGTCAGTGTAGCTGCATTCCGGCCTGTTGGTGGCCGTGGGGACTTTCCTTGTTGTGGTCTTAGGTGTTCTGTGCATCTTTCTTGTGCCGTCTCTGGCTGTCTTCCCCAGCTCAGAGGCAGAGACTTGGGGAAGCTTGATATTGAGGAAGGAAGTCTGGCGTGTGGACACGAAGGATAGACGCACAGTGCGGTGCGGCTAGGAGCCGAAGGGGAACCCTGGATGGCGGTTACTGGAGTGTGGCTCCCCGAGCTGTGAGGTGGGGAGCATGGTTTCCGTGGTGGGGCCAGTCTGGATTGGGGTGGACAGAGGACTGAGCGGTCGTGAGATGGCGAGGAGGCAGGGTGTGGGGAGGAGACTTAACGAAAAGCCAGGAGAGACTTGAGCATAAAGATTGGTGGGAAGAGGGTGCTGGCGAGAACCCAGTGTCCCTCTCCCGGGAGACAGGAGGCTTCTGGCAGGGCTGGGGGAGATGGGCCCTGCGGCAGGAGGGGGTTAGAGTACAGATGAACAGGGCAGTCAGGTAATTCGGGAAAGGTGTTTCCTCTGAAGAAGAGCTCAGGCCATTTTCCGCAGAATGAGCTGATGGAGCAGGGTCAGTTCTCTCCCTCCCTCAGGATCTGGCTAACCCTGTAGCTTTCAAACTGTAGTTTTCCACGTGAAATCTTACGCATAATTCTTTGTCATAAATACATGGCCACCGTCTTCATAGCCAAGCACAGTGTGGATGCCTCTGCCCTTGGAGGAAGTGCCTGCCCACCTGCGTGTGCCTCCTGTCTGCTGGTGGGAGCCGTAAGCTGTGCCTGTCGTGAGCACTGGGCAGCTGGCCTCCTGTCCCCAGGCACTGGTGTGCTGGGTCCCAGTGCTGTTGCTTGCAGGGCTTAGCTGCGCTCCGTGTCTTAGCAACAGACTTCAGATCAGACACCCGAACGGCCACAGCCAGAATTGCCTTGTCTGGGGATCCCACATTCATCGCTGTGACAGAATTGCCCCGTTGCTCAGACAGTCGTGGCTCAGTAACGAGAGGGTAAGAGAGAAGTACTGTGGAGGTCTGTCTCCGCCTGCTTCCTTCTGCCCCTCTCCCTCCCATTTTCTTCATCCCCTAGAATGCGTTGTAACCCATAAAATAGAAAATGCACTCTCACAGTCACTTTCCCTCTTCCTTTGGCCTTTGTTCTTTTGTTTTTTCCTTAAGATAAAGGGGAGTATTCCATACATAATGTCCTTCAACATCTCCACTTATGTTGAAACATAGAGTTCCTTGTTCTTTTTCCCTAGCTCTACTGCATACATTATTTAATCAGTCCTCCACTGGTGGAACTTGAGGGCCATTTTCAAGTCTGGATACTAAAACGTTGCCTTCGATAACCTTCTAGGTATGTCATTTCGTGCGTGTGGCTGTCTGGAGAGTAAATCCTGGAAGTGGAATCACTAGGTATTTGTTACTTTATATGAGTTGCCAGATTGCTCTGCACAGTGATTTTGACCTGTCCCCTGACCGCTGGCAGTGACTGGGCTGCCCTGTTTCCCCACCGCCTCCTGAAATTGTGTTAGCGAATATTCGTGTTTTTCCAGTGTGTGAATAGGAAAAGGACCTGGCAGGATAGTCTTTAATTGAATGAGGTTGAACATCTTTTCTACGTATCACAAAGCCATTAGATTTTGTTTTCAGTGAGCTGCTTCTGTTGTTTGTGCCTTGTCCTGCCGGGTCCTTGGTGTTGATTTCCAGGCACTCTGTACTGGGGAGACTAGTCAGTGGCCCTTGGTGCTGGGAGGTGCAGGTGTTTCTCCTGGGTCTGTCATGTCGTTGTTGATTTTTATGTAGTCAGCTACTTCAGTCTCGTCTTTCATAGTCTGTCATAGTGTTTCCCACGTCAAGGCGGTGCAGGGATCTCAGGCTGCTCTCCCGCGCGTCCTCGTGGAAGGCTGGGGGCAGCTGTTCTCCTGGGCCCTTCTCAAGGAGCTGACTGCCAGCCACACTGGATGGATGGAGCGCATGGTTTCAGGGGGCGTGGTGTGTTGTTAGGCCAGCCCCTGATCACCCTAACAGATTTGGGAGGTGAGGGCAGAGACAGGAGCCCTGTCAGGGTCAGCTGGAGGCAGGAGAGGCTTGCTGGGTGACTCGAGTTCCCTTCACCAAGTCAGGAGCTAGTTCTCTAGCAAACTGCTCTTCGGTGGATTCCCCCACTCCCCAGACTGCAGAAGGTTCACTTTTTGTCCAGTGGTTAAAAGGTTGAAAAGTCCAGTGACCAGTGACGCCTTGGCACAGTGGTCAGAGCTGTTCCCGATTCTGTGGCGGGTGGTCCTGGGTGGTAAGCCTGCCTCCGTGCAGAGGGCTGTGGAGGGGGTGCCGGGGCTGGCCAGCACGGCCTTCGCCCTCTCCCGGAACTCTCCTTACCCTGGGTCTTTCTCTCTAGGCTGAAGGACAGGAGTCCTGGGACACCCCAGGAGACCATGATTTTTCTTGTCTTCCCCTTGCTGAACTGATTCTGGTTGATAGGGCAGCTTGTGGGGCCGGGACCTGCACAGAGCCGTCTGTGTGACAGGAGGCGCCCCTCTCCTGGGGCTCCCTGTTCTTCGACTTCTCCTCCAGGAGTTTCCAGGCTTCCTTGTTCTGGACACGTTCTGGTTGGAGGCTGGTCTGTCCTACAGGGCCATTTCCTCCCACTTCAGGCCTTGCTTTGCCCCAGCAGGTGTGTCTCCTCCCCCAACCCCTCAGCCCTCGAAGGCCTTCCTGGTCCCGTGTCACTGGCTGGAGTTGAATAGCTGGGTAGGATTCTGGCAGGAACTCATTCTGTTCAGGGCTTTCTGCGGGATTTCACCCTTCCTAGGGCAATCCTGTCCAACAAGCGTAGGGGTGCGCCATACCCTTCTACGCAGGCCCTCGTGGCCTGCAAAGTGTCACCAGGTTCTGGAGCAAAGGCCTCAATTGGCCACCTGTGACTTTCATCAGATCACAGTAGCTAAGAAGCCCAAGAGGGCTCTGACCGGGGCAGTCTGTGGCCCCATGTCAACTCTCCTGAGACGGCCTGCTTTTCTGTGAGGGGACTTCTCACCTCTTATTTGGATGGTCTGTGTTCATTTCTGATTTAAGATTTACCTGGGGTTTCTGTGCCTCGTTTCAGATCCCAAAGCACGAGCAACTTTAAGGAGTTTTAGGAGGGTTTTGGTCATAAAACTCCATTTTAATAGTCTTGATACTCAGGTTATGAGTTGTGTCCCGATGGCCTTGTCTGGCTGCAGTGTGAGGGCCACAGAGCCCCCATGTCGGAGTCTTGAGACTGCAGGCCCCAGTGCCAGGCTGGTTCTCGCACCCCCGTGCTTTGCCCCCAGGTCCATGTGTCCTGGCTTTTTTGTTTTGCCAGCATGCGAGCATGGAGAGCACCCCTTCTCTCCAGTCCTCAGCCACCTTCTCAACATCAGCCACATCCGCCTCGAGTGCCGTGTCCTCAGGGCTCAGCCTGCCGAGCAGCGTGAACGCAGTGAACAGCCTCTGCCTGGGTGGGACCACCATGAGTGCCCCCAGCAGCAGTACCCGGGCCACACCCTTGGTGACCTCAGGTGTGTGCTTCAGAAACCTTTCCTGCCCACCCCCTACCGCTTGATGGTTCACGCTTCCCAGGGACAATGCCCAGAGGTGCTGCCATGGCCACGAGCATTGGAGATCAGCTAGGGGAGCTCGGCTGACATGGGGATGGGTGAGATTGGTCTTTGGGCAGACTCCCCCTGGGCAGGATTTCTGGCAGCCTTTGTGCTTCCAGCTCCTGTCTTTTCTGTCCTCACTCATCCCTGGAGCCGAGATGACAGGGTGACATGGAGGGGCCAGGGAGCAGCTATTATGGGCTCCTCCTGGCCACTTTGTGTGGCTGCTTGCCCATCAGCCAGTCCTGGCAGTCTGTGGCCAAGCAAACTGCGGTTTGGTGAAACTGCTCAAAGCCCCTTCAACACAGCCCGGCCCACTGCCGGCCTGCCTTCTGTTCTAGGAAGCAGATTCAGTGCAGTGTGACCTTCAGGAGTGGGTGGGCGCGGTGTTGGGGCCAGAACCCTCTGATGTGGAAACAGCCTGGACGTGGTGACACGTGCTCTCTGCCTCCCCCACTTCCTGGCAGGGCCTGTGTGTCTCAGCTGCTCCCTCCCCTCTTGGTCGTGAGGCTTCTGGGGTAGCACAGTGACAGGGAGCTCAGCCCCTGGCCCCACAGGAGCTGAGGAGTCTCACTCTGTTTGATTTTTGCCTTTACAGGCAAAGCACCCCCCAACCTGCCCCAGGGGGTGCCACCCCTGCTGCACAACCAGTACCTCGTGGGCCCCGGAGGACTGCTTCCCGCCTACCCGGTGAGTGTACCAGGGAGCCCCTGACCACTGGCTGCCCTGGCCTCGGGCTGGCACCCAGAAAGGGGGCCTTGGGTTGCTGCTGCTCGGATCCCTGTATTTCTCCCCATCTAGACTCCATCAAGGGAGGGCATCTTCCCACAGCAGCTGAGCCAGCTTTTGGGCCCCACGTGGACTTCTGGGGGATGGTCTGTGGTGTGTGGTCCCTGACACCCTTTCTGGTTCTCACACAGATCTATGGCTACGATGAGCTCCAGATGCTGCAGTCCCGGCTGCCAGTGGTAAGTGGGATGTGGCAGGGGGATTCAGGCTCTTTCACATGTCCTTCCTCCCTTGGCCTTGAATGCTACCCTGCCTGGCCCTCAGGTCCTCCCTCAGCACCACAGCTGAGGAAGATGCTTCCTTTCAGTGGTGGTGCCTGGGTGACTATAGCCTGGGCATGTGAGTGGTGTCACATGCTCATCCCTGGGGAACTTGAAGACCACTAGGCCCTGGGGCCCTGGTAGGCAGTGCCCCTACTAAATCTGGGTCCTTCTCTTCCCCCACTCCCCTTCCCCATTTCTTAAAAGAAAACCCATATGACACAAGACGTGGGGTGGGTTACTGCCTCTAGAGTTTTTATAGTCTTCTCCTTTGAAGTGCCATTCAGTATCTTTGGCATCTAAAGTGGACATTAGTGATGCTTGTGATGGCAGCATTGCTCTTCTGCCCCCAGCTGAGCAGCTGGAGCTGACCGTGGTTAAGGGCCCATCTGGGTCTGGCCTGCCATCTCTGTTTGCAAGCATGCTGGCCCCAGGATCTCCCTGGTTGCTGCAGCCTCACTCTTAGGCCAGGGCTGCATCTCTATTCTGACCCTTGTGACCAGGAGGAGGCCCTGGGCCTTCCCTGGGGTGGCCCTGTGGCCAGGCCTGCAGTAGTGGAGGGGTGCGGCAGGAGGCGTGCTCCCTGCCCCAGCTGCCTGCGGGCTCCTGCATCACCATTCCCTTCTTGGTCTGACATTGCCCAGACTCCTAATAATTTTCAGCAGCCCACGGCATCTGTCATATTATTGGAGAGTAAAAACCTTCTGGGACATTGGCACCCCTTCACTGGATGTGGTCTTTCCTATTCCCCAAGAAGGGATTTCCTCCCCAGTGGGGTGTCCTTCCTTAGACGACTCCTCGTGAGTGTTGCCCCCTCCTCTGCCTGGCCACAGAGAGCTCAGGGAGCTGCAGGTATCACTCGCACTCCCAGGCCCAGTGGCTGAAGCTCTTGTCTCTCAGGAGAACTCTTCTCCGTCTGCTGACGTATTTCCAGAGGCAGAGCTGCTGGTAGCTGGACGACCCTTCCCCTCTGTGCAAACCAGGAGCCCATCCTACTGTTCCCCAATGGCCTGCTGGACTCGCCAGCCGCTACCCATGTCCCCAGAGGGCTCAGAAAGGATGTTGAAGACATGATGGCAGATTTCTAGAGTGGTTAACAGAACTTAGGGTCTCTGGGGATGTCTGAGCCTTAGGGCTTTGAAGGGGAACTGGAAGTGGCCCGAATCCCCTTAACGCTCATGAGGGAATCTTGCAACCATCTGGTTCAGGAGCCCCAGGCATCAGAGAAATAACATAACATATATAACATAAGACGTGGATATAACATAAGACGTGGTCCTGAGTGAGTCTGCACAGGTCCTGGCCAGAGGCCCCCAGCAGTGGCTCAGTGGGATCCCAGCCCTGAGAGTCATCCTGCCTCTTGTTTCTTTTATCATTTTGTGCCTTGGAAGAAATTCCCTGGGAGCCTGCCTCCTGAGATCCCTTGTTCTCATTTTCCCCTCTGGTGGTGTATTAGCCTTTGGCACTTTTGTGCCTAGTTCCTGCCTTTGGATTTTCTTCTCTTCTGTGAAAGAGCTCCTCCTCCTGGGCTTCTCTAGGCCTGTCCCGAGGTGTGTCTTAGCAGCTTAGTGCTTTCCTAGTCCTGCTGCCTCCTGGGGTTCTGGGCTGAGGATGCTCTGGGTTTCCTGGAGGTTACTTGGAGATACGGGCTGGAGGAGGGTGTAGGGTGGCTGCTTCTGCTTGTGGCCAGGCGCTGTTGCCCATGAAGAAAGCAGGACGGCTTTCTCTTGGCTCGGACGCCAGGGTGCAGTGTGTGTCAGACCTCCACTGTGTTCTGCCCTCTTGGCGGCCACACTTCCCGCAGCTCTTGTGCCATGTCCGTGTTGCCAGCACAGAGCGGATGGGGAGAGGCCAGTTCAGGACCTTACCTGGGGGCCTGCTTGCGCCTCTTCCTACCTGGCATTGCTGCCCTGATCCCTGTTAACCCTTTTAGGCACCTCCTCTCCTGCTGGCTCCTTTTCAGGTTTCTACCGTCCAGTCAACTTTCCTAGCAGCTCTTTAGAATCTCTTACACAGGAAGAGCCAGTCGAGTTGGTTTGGCCTGTGGCATTGGCAGCATCCATCTGCGGTGTGAAATGGATGTGTGAGATTGGGCCTCCAGTAGCTCTGCCTGCAGAAGGCTGAGGGATGGGGCAGTGTGTCTGCATGCCCTGTGGCTGCCACACTGCACAACTCCAGTGGGCATCGTTTGCTTTAGGTTCTCTGTGAGAGCTGCCTGCTGGAGGTGTGCGTGTGATGTCCCAGCAGTCCAGTCTGTCCCGGGAGCGCCTGTGCTGCCTGCTGGGTCGGCTGTCCTGGGAGCAGGGCGAGGCCATTCTGCTGATTGAGCCTCCCTGGTCTCTCCTAGGATTACTATGGAATTCCCTTTGCTACGCCCACAGCCCTTGCCAGCCGAGATGGGAGCCTAGCTAATAACCCATATTCAGGTTAGTCTGTTCAGGGGGTGAGGAGTGGGCGGCACGGGCCTGTAGCTGATCCCACGAGTCTGGAAACACAAGCAGAAGGGCTGAGAGAGGCCTGCTATCTTTTCTTTGTTGTGTTGGGAGCCAAACTGTTCCTGTTTGCAGGAGTCAGTCTGGCTTTTTTCCTGGTTGGATAAGGAGCAGTGACTGAAATCAGTGCTCTCTTCTCCTAGGTGATGTCACAAAGTTTGGCCGAGGAGACTCTGCATCCCCTGCGCCCCCCACCACACTGGCTCAGCCCCAGCAGAGCCAGTCCCAGGCCCACCACACAGCCCAGCAGCCCTTCCTGAATCCCGCGCTGCCACCTGGCTACAGCTACACTGGCCTCCCCTACTACCCAGGCGTGCCCAGTGCCTTCCAGTATGGGCCCACCATGTTTGTGAGTATCTGTGGGGCGTGCTGTTCCAGCTCCGGGGAGCAAAAGCAGGGAGGGAGGCGATCCCAGGCAGTCCCCCGTGGCCTTCAGGAATGCTTAGACGGGGGCGGGGGTCCTTCCCATCTGTTTGTAGATCCAGCATATGTTGCACGAAGGAGCACAGGGCCCTTGTGATTGTGCCACCTGCTGCCCGAGGCTAAGCCAGGGGTACCTGGCCCCCCACCTCCGTTCCTCCACTAAGGCCTCTTCTTGCCTCGCCAGGTCCCTCCGGCCTCAGCCAAGCAGCATGGTGTGAGCCTCAGCACCCCCGCCGCCCCTTTCCAGCAGGCTGGTGCTTACGGCCAGCACGGCTACAGCACAGGTGAGGGGCGCTCCCAGCGTGGAGAGCCGCAGGAGGACAGGCTCGCCTCGCTCACATGCCTCTTGTCCCTGCCTGCTAGGTTATGATGACTTGACCCAGGGGACAGCCGCAGGAGACTACACCAAGGGTGGCTATGGTGGATCATCGCAGGCCCAAAACAAGTCTGCAGGTTCTGGGCCTGGCAAAGGTAGCGTCTACCCCTCCTCTCCGGACGGAGGCCCCAAGTAGTTGTCTCCTAGCCTGGCTCTTTCCCAGGCATGGCTCCCCCACCGCGCCCTGGAGGCAGGGGAGGCTGGAGCTGGGACCAGCTGCTGTGGGAACAACTGCTTTCCCTCCTAGGAGTGGCCGTGTCTTCAAGCACCACGGGCCTGCCTGACATGCCTGGTTCTGTCTACAACAAGACCCAGGTGAGGGAGGACCGCGGTGGCTGGGTAGGGTGGTGGGAGGTGCAGCCCACACTGGCCCTCACCGTTGTCTCTTTGCCCCACAGACTTTTGACAAGCAGGGATTTCATGCAGGGACCCCTCCACCATTCAGCCTGCCCTCAGCCTTGGGCTCCACAGGGCCCCTGGCCCCTGGCGCGGCCCCTGGTTATGCGCCTCCACCGTTCTTGCACATCCTGCCCGCCCACCAGCAGCCTCACTCACAGCTGTTACACCACCACCTTCCGCAGGATGCCCAGGTGAGCCCAGTGACGGAGGCGGCCGCCCTGCCCTGGGCCGGGGCTTCTGCTGCAGCCTTGACAGCCTTCTCTCCTCCTCCTCAGAGTGGCTCGGGTCAGCGCAGCCAGCCCAGCTCCCTGCAGCCCAAGTCTCAAGCCTCCAAACCTGCCTACGGCAACTCTCCATACTGGACAAACTGAGCCCTGAAGAGGGGTGGGCTGGGGCAGGGCTTACCCGGGCAGGAGAGAACACGCGGAGCCCGTTTCTGGGAGCCCAGCGCCCTTTCCTAGAATTCCTGAGACGTGTAACTGTGTCAGCCGAGCCTCTGTGGGGAGCCCGCCTCCCAGACTCGCTATTGTATGTAATGTATTTATGTATGTACTTGTAAATGTGACCCAAGTCCTGGGGGAGGGGGTGCGGCTGCTACTCTCAGCCAGGTCTGCTCCCCTGCTCAAGCCTCTTCTCACTGTAGCAAAATAAGCCCCTGCTCCCCTCTGCCTTCAGGCCTTCTCCATAGCCCGCGGCCAGCGGCCCTAGCGGGCCGGTGTCTGGAGGGGCCGGTTTAAGGCAGTTTGGCAGTTGGGGTCAGGTACCAATGAAGAATCACGACTTATCTCGCTCCCTTGTAAACCATTATTTGAGTTTTCTTCCCTGTGTAATTACTTTATGCCCCTCTTTTTTGAGAAACTGGTTCTTTTGTCATTTGTCATGTCCCCCTCCTGCCAAATCTTGATCTGGGAATAGCAGAGATGTCCATCCCCCCTGCCTGACATGAAGTGGCACCTGTTTGTCCTCATATAAAGCAGGGGTTTCTGCTTCTGGTCTGGTCTTTTCCTCAGAGACTTGCCTTCCTCTGGCTGACCGTTTTTAAAATAATCTGAATTTGCACTCAGATGCTCAGCCAGTCAGCTCCCCTTTAAAAAAAAATCAAAGCTTTCACCTCAACGAGAGCACGTCTCCAAGCAGAGTTGTCCTGAACAAGTGGGCGACTGTTTCAGGGGTTTCTCTTTTGCCCACACTCCACCTAATAAAGTTTTGAGAGCATGCACGGTTTCGGTGTGGTGTGACTAAGGGATGGCTCAGGGCCCGGCCGGCTTCAGTGTGTTCCAGGCGGGCTGGACTTTACAGGACTGAAGTGGAGAGCTCATGTGGACAGTCTTTTGACAACAGGGGGCGAGGACTTACGGTGGTCTGGTGGTATGCTGCTTTGCGGGGCCCCAGCAGTCAGCCTCTAGGGAGTGAGAAGGTAAATGACAGGCTAAGACAGTGACCCTCGGGGCAGGCAGGCACAGGCGGTGTTTAAGTTAACTCTGCTTTCCTTTCATCTCCAAACAGACTTCATGGATGAGGCAGGTTCTCACAGGGCCCTGTCAACAGGAATACCGGGGCAGGGTAATTTCTTTTCCAGACGTCAACTGATTTTAAGATATGGAGCCAAGTAAAATATGTTTGAACAGCTAAACCTCTCTATCCTTTGCTCTTACCAACCAAACACCATCTTGATGGACAGTCAAGGGCTGTGGTGGAACAGCTGACTGCGTCAAGTCGCATTAAGTGGGTAGGTGGGTCCTGGGCTAAATGTCTGCTCTGGAAAGTCCCCACCAACCATTCACGCGGGCCAGGACTCTAGTCCAGCTCCTTCCTCCTGCTCCCAGGCCGCCAGGCAGGGAGGAGCCAGGGCCATAAGCTATCGTGTGCCTCCAGCAGGAGGCCATCTCCCAAGCTGTCTGTGGCACAACTCTGCTCTACCCCGAGGAGGCTCAGGGCCTGGAGGCGTAGCCCGAGGCATCTTAGCCTCTCACTTCAGTCCTAAATAACCCCTTCAGACCAGGCTGCAGAAGCAAACAAAGTGAGTGTTGCTTCAAGTATAGGTCAAGCCCACGTGCCACACCCCGGGGGCCACAGTCTTCATCTTTTCTGCTTTTGGCCTCTAAAATCAGTGGTCATTTCATCAGAATGGGACATGTGCTGTTGTTAACCCACAGCTTCTGATCCTGGTTAGGAAAAAGTGTCCACAACTGTAACTAAATAGGGACTTTTATTAAACTGTGTGATCTCCTGTCTGATCCCTGCTATTAAATGCAGCAAGTGACAAAATCCTTGCCTAAGGAGGGCAGTGGAGCCCCCTCCAGCCCCTCACCAAGCTACTTATATTGGCAGATTGTGCCCTATTTCAGAATTAAGGTCAACAAATGGCTGTGTCTTTTTCTTAAAAGCTAGTAAGATTGGGGATGTTTATTCTGCAAGGAGGTGAGTTGAGCAGAATATCACAGAAGGCAAGTCAGCAAGATTTGGCTTTTGTTTTAATTTTTCAGCTGAGTCCTGGGCATAATCTGCAAGAGAACAGTAGAAATACTAAAACCACCTTTTCTTTAACACAAGAAAAAAAGAAGAGGGTCATCCAGTGGGGAAGTAGCAATACAGGTATATTTTATTTCACATTTTATTAGTAGACAGATGGGCAGAAAAAGACAAAATAAACCACTAAAAGGGAAATTCAACACAAAATGCATCCGATAATCTTTTCTCATAAGTTAAACTGAAGAAAAACATCTACAATTTCAGCTAAGAAAACTATTAAAGTCAGGTGTGTCCTGCTGGTTTCAGAATAGTTGAAAATTGCATCTGAATCTTTGTAAATGTAAACCTTTTTTTATCAGGATGGGAGGAGTGGAGTTAATTTTCAGTGGAGAACTACACATTTTACGCTTCAATCTCTTACTATGTATGTCCCAAACATAAGGAAACCAGCAAATAAAGAAGCAAATAATTACCAGGGAAGAGGAAAGAAGGAACTACAAAAAAGCTTGGCTAATAGAAAAGAAGTCTGGAATGATATGAAATAGAAAAAGGGGGGAAGACTTTGAGAAGCAACAAGAGAATCATGATGTTTGACTTTCTCCACCCAGCCTCAAAATACGCAGACCTGAAGAGCATCCGGAGACGCCTCCACTGGAATCAAAAGGAATCTAAAAATGCAGGATGTTAGGTTAATGTGAGACCAACTAATCAGCACAACTGTACTCACAAGGTTCTGGCCTGAGCCCGAGATCTCCACTCCAAACAACAGAGGGACATGCTTGTTTTCTCTTGCACGAGGGTGTGTTCTCAGGGCAGCTCTGGAACCAGCATCTGGGTTTTACAGGTTCAGTCTGAGCTATCAGCATGTCTACCTGCTAGCTTATCCACACACCCCAGTCTTTTCTGGAACTGATTGTACTCTCATCAGAGGCAAACCCAGCCCTCAGTAGTCCACCCCAAGGGGCTGAGAGGTACGACCTCCACCTGGCTCTCTGGCTCCCTGAGTCAATGTGCAACAGAGGCCAACAGGGCCGAGCAGCATAGCACCTCCCACAAAGCCAAGGTGCCTGGCCTGCCCTGGGAGAGAAATGCTTTCGCAGTAAAGGGAAAGAAAGCAAGACCAAGCTACTGGCTGTAAACGTGTGTGTGTGTGAGTGAGACAGGGAGTAATCAAAGCATTATGAGAGACTTTGGGCTCCAGAATATCTGCAGGTTATCTGGAAGGATTATTTAAGCATGGGGAGTCAAAAGCTAGTTCCAACATCCTTCTGTCAGAGTTTGTGGTCAGAGTGTTTTGTCACAAAGAGCTGCTCTGTTCTGAGTCCAACTGGAATCACTAGATTCAGGGGTACAAGTAGCCCCGGCCCCAAGGGGACTGGACAGTTTCTGGGGCCAGGCTCGACACTGTCCTGTGTGAACCTTAGCACGTGAAACGTTCCCACTTGGTACCAGACCTAACTTTAGAGGCCAGAGAGCGCTGCTGGGAATGAGCAAATGTCGGGAGAGTTTGAAGAGCGAATGAAAACCCTGAGATCAGAAAGGAAGGAGGGGCTAAGGAAGTAAGCGTCACCTACGCTGTCCTAGGATCCACCCTGCCATCCCTCACCAACCCTTGGTTCTTTCTGAGCTGCGATCTGCCGAAAAGGAGTTGACGCTAGTGTGCAGGAGTCTGAAGTAGGACTGTAGTCGTCTCTGCTGTACTTTCCTTGTGAAGTTTGTCAGTTTACATTGTAACGATTCTCCCCACTGAAGGAACACTGCCCGCCTTATGCACTGGCCCGCTCCATAAGAAACAGACATCACCTCCAAGTTCGCAGTCCCTGGTGGGTGAAGGCTGATGGATCTCAGCACTGATCCAAGTAACACACGATTGAGATGGGCCATCAGAGCGGCAGCCAGTGCCCGGCAAGAAGCTCTAGTGTTGCACAGACACTGCCTGCAGCCGCCCCCTCGGCCCGCCCGAAGAGTCGAAGCAGCCAGGGCAAGCGCCATGCACAACTTCTGCGTGCACGCCAAAGAGGACAGTGACAGGAGAGGAAAGTCCAGGTGGCATCCGGTGAGGAAAGCGGGAACCGGTCACTCATGTCTCACATGTATCCACAGTTATCACTGTCGGTATAAGCAGCTCCATGAAAACCAAAATCTTAACACATGCACCTAGTATTAATACTGAGTAATTAAAACTGGCTACATAAAAAAGTCCTCATGGTGAGAGTGTATTCTTGAGGGAGAGGCCACGTTAAATACAGAAAACAGATGTTTTCTCGCCCAGCAGTGGTCACCAGTAGTTTGGACTTTTTCCCCAGCAGCGTGAACCAAAATTGGCATAGTGACTTTTAATTCTTGGCTCCCATCACTAAGACTCCACACACACACTAATCCCCACTCTCTCCCCACTCCCTGGGGGGATATAACTCTGCCTTTAAAATAAATAGCAATCAAGTGCTCAGTTCTATGTAAAGTATGAATATTTATTTCAGGCTTTAGATCCCAATCGATTTCAAAAAACAAAATCTGATCTCTCTCCTCAGAGCAGCTGAGGCCTCCATGTTAGGACGCTTTCCTGGAGGGTGAGGGGCTCTGTGCCCTTAGGAACACATGTCATCAGGCTCAGCACAAAGTCCCTGATGCCCGCTGGGCCCCAGCCTTAAGAAGGGAAAGAAACAAAATTCACCACCATGGGGCTGAACAAATGCACACACGCTAAGGTAAAGGAGCAGCTAAACCTTGGCAAATTTGCTTTTTTTAAAAAAAGTTTGTTTTGTGGGGTTTTTATGTTTTTTTTTTTTTTTTCCATTTTCTTTTGCTAACCAGCATATGCAGCACTTGTGAACTTCCAATGGGCTCTCCGCTTTAAACACATTAACTGTCTCGATGAAAGACTATTTAATTCTTCAGGAATCTAAAACAGACCAAATGTGTTTTGCTGTGAACATTTTGTAGAGACGAAGTGAGGCAGGAGTTTGGGTTTAAAGAAAAAAAAAAAAAGAATCAATACAGTGATGGAAGGGTAAAGAATGCAAGAATTCAGACATTCTCTGGAGGGTTATTTTCTCTCCATTAAGAGGTCCATAAAAAGGAGCAAACTGGGATCCATAAGGGGAGTCAGCAGGAGCCTCGCATGTGTCCCTACCCCTGTGAGAGGTTTTGCTGAGGGGCCCCTGCTAGGTCCCCACTCGCTCCCCTCCCTTTGGCCTGAGTCGGCAGGGCAGTACAGGGGCATCGGAGGAGCACGTCACGACTCCTCATTCCCAGAATCATCATCATCATAACAGTCGGCATCTTCCTCCTCCTCATCTTCATCATCGATGTCATCGTCGTACAAGTCGTCATAAAGCAAATCTGAGCTGTTGTCATTGGAAGGCACTTTAGTTTTGATGCAGTATTCCGCCAGGGTCGTGGGGACCTTTACTCCATCCTTTTCTGCTTCAGCTTTAGTGGCTGAAACCTGTTTCCTGAAGGGAGGATAGTGTGTGTAAGTCTCTGTCTTGAAGATGGATTTGTAATTAGCCTTTCTAAATCATCATGATTCCTTAGACTCGGATCAGGTTTCTGAACTCGAGCACCTGCCTGAAGGCATCTGACAGACACCCTCTACCACCCAAAGGCTCCCAGCCCCCAGGTCCCATTCTGAAGGACATTTAATAATGACCTTTTGTAGGATGCTGGCTAGCCAGAAATCACCTCGGATTTTTTTTTTTTTTTTAAGATTTTATTTTTTCCCCTTTTCTCCCCAAAGCCCCCCGGTACATAGTTCGTTGTGGGTCCTTCGAGTTGTGGCATGTGGGACGCTGCCTCAGCGTGGTCTGATGAGCAGTGCCATGTCCGTGCCCAGGATTCGAACCAACGAAACACTGGGCCGCCTGCAGCGGAGCGCGCGAACTTAACCACTCGACCACAGGGCCATCCCCTCAGATTTTTTTAACCTAGTCATGTCACACCAAACTCATAATGCAGCCTCCCCACTCTCCTTAATTCGGTAACCCTCCCGTCTGCACTTACGGTAAAATCTGAACTCCTGCATCATCGACCTGCCAACACTTCGTTCTCACCACCCACTACTGTCTCAAACTCCAAAATGTTCAGGCCACCTGGGTCTTTTTTTAGTACATTGAACACACGTAGTTAATTTTTCTGTGTGAATCAGTTGCTCTTCTAATCTGCACACACATGGTTGGCTGCTGCTTGTCACTCCGATCTGGTATGTTACCTTCGAGAAGGCCTGTCCAGCCCCCAATTTAAAGCAGCCATTTCGTCACTCCTTCACATTACCCTTCTTTTACCACTACAGCATTTTCTTCTTTCTATGATCTTCCTCATTTGTTCATTTTTCTGTTGTGCCCCCTCCCTCTGCAAGAAGGTGAACTTCATTAGAGCAGGGACCTCACCTTTCCTAGTCACTTCTATTTCTCCAGTGCCTAGAACACAGGCTGGCACACAGCTGTACAAACCAATGCTGACTGGATGAATGGATGGAAGGGGAAAGTGTCCTTCAACAAACATGAAAATTTGAGCCATCAAGGGACTGGAAAAACTTGAGCTTAAAACATCAAACCACCACTCTCCCTATCTTCCTCTGCTTCCTCTTACACGACCTCCCTCAGTGGCTCTTGCTGCCTTGCCTCACGTCCTAATGCTGTGAGGCTTCCAGGCTGGACTCTTCACCACCATTCCCTTTATGCTGATGGCTCTCACTCACATCATCTGGCTCCAGTTCACACCTTTCTTCTGAGCTCTACACTCCCATCTAAGTCTTCTGGATGTCTCCATCCTGATATTCCATAGCAATCCTAACCCAGCAAGTCTGCAATTGTCATTTTCCACCTCTTCTCACTAAAAGAGTATCAGTTCCTAAAGTCATAAATCTTACTCCAAAATCCTAGATATTTTCAAATCTGTGTTCTCATTTCCATTGTCACAGACTCAGTTTAGTCTCTTTTCAGCCTCTATGATGGTCCCCTAGTCAACTGTGTTCTTTCAGAACTCAAATATGGGGGCTGGCCCCGTGGCCGAGTGGTTAAGTTTGCGCGCTCCACTGCAGGTGGCCCAGTGTTTCGTTGGTTCAAATCCTCGGCGCAGACATGGCACTGCTCATCAAACCACGCTGAGGCAGCATCCCACATGCCAGAACTAGAAGGACTCACAACGAAAAATATACAACTATGTACTGGGGGGCTTTGGGGAGAAAAAGGAAAAAATAAAATCTTTAAAAAAAAAAAAAAAAAGAACTCAAATATGATTATCCCTTCCCTTCTTATAATCTTTAGTGACAACCCACCACCTCTAAGATTAAGGGCCAAATGCCTTATCGTGACTTCAGTGACTTTTAAGACCTCTCTTAATTTCCCAAATCAGAATTTACACTCAGGCTACTTACAATTCCCTTCATGCCATGCTGTTATATACCTGTGTTTTAGCAAACATGTTTCTCCCTGAGGATGCTTTTTCCTTCCCCTCTTTACCTGAAAAAGTGTTGGTTATGAGGCATTCTCTCTCCTAGGAACTCCATGGCATTATATACTCCTCCCACTCTCTTGTTAATATTCTGTAGTTGCACTTATCATATTACATTGTTATTTGTTTGTTTTCAAATGCTTGCTAAGTGTGAGCTCCCTAAGGAGAAAGACCGGTCCTTAATGACCTAGCCAGAGATCTGACATAAAGCTGGCATATAATAAATGTTGGAAGAACGAGATACAGAATACAAGTACCTTGGGAATATTCATACATTCCTCACTTACTAAATCCTACCTTTCCTTAAGCATCAGGCTCCAAGCATGACTGTTTTATGAAGCATTCCCATCTTTCAATCCTCAGTCCACTCCCACGCCTCTAAATTTCTACAGGTCCTTACTGTTTATACTAATTATCTTCACTCTTTGGTACACACCAGTCACCTAGGTGCTGGTAAAACAAAATATAGACGCCTAGATTCCATCCTTGTAATTTCATTAAATGACTACAGATGAAGGAGGGGTCTAAAGATGATTCCAGTGCGCAGACAACTGTTAGAACTGCTGATGTATATTATTCAGCTGTCAGATAGATGCATTTCTCCACATTGTTTCTGGTTTTTTATATCACATGGTATCATGCTGACTAGATGTACAGAGAGGGACTAGAAAATGTATAGATTCTAGTGCTTATGAAACTCCTATGCACAGAATGTGCTGGAACTATCCTTGGGGCTCATTTTAAGGGTATAAAAATGTAATAGTATTAAAGGGAATTGAATTTATTGCAATTGAAGTACCAATTCTTGGGTGCTGCTATGAAAATCTTGTATCTTACTCAGGATGTGATTGAGATGGTTGAGCCGAATACCTTCTACTTTTTTCCTTTTACATAGATGGAAAAAACTAAAGACTCAAAAAGTTACATGAGGGGTGGCAGAGCTAGGAGTAGATTCCAAATCTCTTGATAAGAGGTGGTTTCTAGGGCTGTGTTAAACTCTAACACTAGCATTGCTCATAATGATGATGCCCAGAAGATGCTTGCTGCTATGGTCAAAAAGGCCAATAAACTATGGGGTTAAAAAAAAATCTTGCGGGGCTGGCCTGGTGGCCAAGTGGTTAAGTTCGCTCGCTCCACTTCAGCAGCCCAGGGTTTTGCTGGTTCGGATCCTGGGCACAGACATGGCACCGCTCGTCAGGCCATGCTGAGGCGGTGTCCCACATGCCACAAATAGAAGGACCCACAACTAAAAACACACAATTATGTACGGGGGGGACTTGGGGGATAAAGCAGAAAAAAAAATTCTTGAAACAAAAATACCTGGAGTGTCTGGAAACCTTGGGTGTTTGCTACACTTAGTGGACATGTTGAAAGTTTAACACGGTGCCCCTAAAATGATCAGGATGGAGAGCCTGCACACTTGACTAGCTCAGAACCTGGAAGCTCTGGTTCCCAGGCAGTCAGATCTGCTGCAGCATTATCTTCTAGGGTATGCTGTCTCAAAAGCCAAACTCATTAGGCTCCGGAGAAGTCTCCTCCCAAACAATAAATCTAATTGAGAGAAACGAGCGGACGCTTAAGTTCAGTTTAAACCTTTGGTTCTACAGGAAGACTCAAAGTAATTAAACAGAAGACAAAACAAAGAACCTTACCTAATGATTTCAGCATATTCTTTGTCTTTTCCTTTACTGTCCCTCCATTTCCTGAACATAACTGAAGCATCCACATTGGCTGGGGAGAAGGTGTTGGGCTCATTAAGCAATGAGATTACACTTAGCAGGATAGTCCTAGAAACAGGAAAAAAGGGTCAGCCATGAATACTCATATTCACAGAATTGGAAAGTATTCTGCTTTCAAGTTTAACACTATAATATTTGAGACCTTAGGGGAAAAATAATAGTGTATCATAAAGTTTTGTTTTCAGTACTCAGCAGGCTAGGCCAGGAACAAGCTCCTAACTGGGAGACAAAGCAGAAGAAATCTGAGCCCAGCATAAAGGTCATGTTGAAGGCGTAGAATGAACTCTGTAGAACACACTGTCTCAACCGGCTACATGTTCCAATCTGCAAAAAGTGGAGGCCTGGAAGCTTTTCAAATAACATTTGTAAAACTACAAATTAAGTGCAACAAGAAAAAGCAAAAGCAAAAAGTATTTAGCTTCAAGACAATCTTTTTACAGGAAACGGTAAAAATGATGCTACTCATAAATCCAATTCTTACAGTAGCTGCTTAGAACTAAGATCTGAAAAACAGTATTACATAAAAATGTTTCTTTTCCATACTTCCAAGGGAAGGAAGACAGAGTTAAGCAGAGGAACGGAGGAAAAGCAATAGCCTCAACATGGAAGAACTAGTCTCTGAATAACAAAAAACTTTATTCAAAAATATTTACTGAGCACCTACTACGTGCCGGAAGCACCAAGTAAGATGCTGGATGTACAACAGTGAGCAAGTCAGATGCCAACCCTGATTTCCCAGGGCTTCTAAGTCATGTGGGAGACATAAACAAGCAATTTTCATCCACAGATAAAAACTAGACACCTTAATCACAGGGAAAAAAGTTTGTTAGATAAAATAATCAAGAAAAGCACAACAGGTTCCAAAAATGTTCCAAGTTATTCCCAGGCTTTTTTTCTCTAAGAGCTATATGCATGTACGTAAGGAGAAAATGAGAGGAAAAATTAAATTTCTCTACCTTTTCTCATTGGTGCGAGGTTATAGATTGTGTTGTTGCAAAAGAGCCTTTTGCTCCTGGCCCCAAGCAAAAAATAAAGGGAGGGAACCAGGCAATTAGATGTTTGATTTGATGAAACCTTTTCCTAAAAAGGGTAAAGAGTTTCTGTTATGTGATTATACAAGTCACTTTCAAAGAAAACTTTCTGATCTAGTTAAAATCCATTTATCACCACCCCACCTTTCTATTAGGTTAAGAATAACTCCTTGCCTTCCCCCCCAGATCCTTCTGGATTTCTTCAGTAATTACATTAAAAAGATTCAAAGAAACTTATCACTGCCAGTAAAGGGAAACTGACATAACATCCTAGAAGCAAAAGAAAAATGTGGGTAGAAAATTCCATAAGGGTTGCTTCAGAAGAAAACATATTCAAAATCTGTTAGAAAGATAAGCAGGATCAGACAAGGTATGGTATAAAGAGAAAAAATAGCTTTAAGGGTCTTGATCAGCACTGTATACTTACAACTTTCTGTGATGTTAGAAATGTATAATCTATTATCCAATATGGTAGTCACTAGCCACGTGTGGCCGTTGAGTACTTTGAAGGGTAGCTTGTGCAACTGAGGAACTGAATTTTTAATAGTATTTAGTTTTAATAAGTTTAAATAGCCATATGTAGTTAGTGGTTACCACACTGGACAACACAGGCTAGATGAATCATATTAATTAGGAAATTTTTCCCATGAGTAGTTTCACCAAGTTGGTGTTCTTACATCTTGTGTGTATTACTAAAATGCTGTTTGTAAATACAATTTTAAAAAAGAGTGAATCATCCATTTCCATCAAAACAAGAACTCACTTCTAATACCATGTACTCCTCCTAAACTGAAATCCATGATGCTTTCAGAAGAGTCAGGTACTATGGCGGATTGTGATAATAGTTAACCCAGTATGTCTGCACTTCCTCCCTTCCTCTGGAGAGCAAAATCTTTTTTTGTATGGGGAATCCAGTCCACTGGTTCAGGTGGGGTTAATCTCCTTCCCCTACCATCATGCCACACCTTCATACAACCTTCCTACCCACAGCAGGAGGCATACCACCAAGTGCCGGCCAAAGGATTCCAGCCATCTTGTCATGATGATGGGTTTGGGACTGGCCCAAGCTGTGCCAATCACAACCATGGTGGGAACTACAACGGTTCTAAACTAATAGCAGAAAGACAATTAATTTTTATTGTTGATTGGACTCACAACAGTGAGAATAAGAAAAGGCTAGAGCAGGTGGCCATCTCTGTCACCAAGTGGTAAGAACCTACCTAATAACAAGACCAATGTAGAGCAAAGCAGAACTGAGGGGTTTTTTCCCTCTAACAAAGATTCCTGATGTAATTCATATGCAATATGCTATTCAAAATTTCCCAACCAGTATGTTGTACATGGGTTACAAGTAAATTATATATTGATTCCCTCAGGAGGCTGGGTGGGTGGGACCTGGGACAACTTGAGTCTCTAGAACAATAACTTCTGGCCAAAGGAGCATCTTCCATTTACTACCTTGTGATCTACAAATACTATCATTTTTTTCTATGTACCATGACTGGAAAAGATCTAGAAGCAATGTCATATGTAGTTTAAATCGTCCAGCACTCGTACCAAAATAATTTAACACAAGCATTACACCTGTAGCATAGTAAACAACTCTGTAAGACAAGTATTAATCCTATTTTCATAGAATGGAAAAACTAAACCGCTAAGACAACACTAGTAGAATGTACAACACAGAACTGAATTCTGGAGCTATTCCAATGGTTACTTCTTCTTTTGTGTGTTGCCATCTTTTGTTGTTGTTAGTTCAGCAAGTTTTTAAAAATCTTTATTCACCTACTGTATTTTTTTCAGATGGAAAAAAACAGAAGGTGGAGAGGGTTAACAATAGGTGAAAGAAAGACCAAATGAAGAAACTACCAAAGTAATATAATTCAATGAGAGGCCACAAAAGCTCATTAAAGAGATCGGTTTCCTGCAGATCAGGGACAAAGGGGAAAGGATCAGGAAAACAACATCATACACACATCCTTATTCTCATTCTGCCCATGTAAATTCATGGTTCCAGATGAAACTTTGGTTTTGGCAGTAACGAATTGCATTTGTCCATTTAGACACTTGTGGCACTTGGACATAAGTCAGGGCAAGGGTATGGGAGGAGTTTTCAGGACAGAGGATCTGAGCCAAAATAGAACAATACTAAAAGGAGAAAGGCAATACAGACAAAAGGATAAGCAAAAGCACTCCACTTTACAGAGTCTTCAGGTTCCTATTTCAGATCCTTTTGTCTGCTTCAGAACCTGTGTCAGAGATGATCTGGTTATGCTCTCTTGAATAAAAAGTTTGTAAACAAGAAAAACACCGAAAGAAAATGAAGACCAACTTATCATACATACACACTGACTAGCAAACAGCAAACTAGCAAGTTGTGAAGTTCTACAGAGCTCAGACATGTTTAAAAAACAACAAAACTAAATAAGTATTTAAGGGAGATGGGAAATGAGAATTAGATATCTATGACCCAATGGGTATTATTGTATTTGTCCCTTTTCAACATACAGACAAGAGTCAGTGAGATGGGTCTGCCCTTTCTCTTTTAGCTACTATGTGACCACAAGTACAACATTAGCAGGAAGGGCAGAAAACTGGCCCTAGCACAACAAAGACAACCTGGCTGATCGGTCTGCCTGGAAACCAAGCAGGAAAAGTTTGGAATTTTGCAGGATTAAAGATTGGCATTTTTCCTCAAATGTATACACATACCCTCGATAAAGCATGTGAGGTAGAAAGGGTTCACTCCTAAAAACCTAAACTTACTTGACTCTTAAAATATAGAAAGAGAAATACAGAGAGATTGATTGAAGATTCTTAAGTTTTACAGGCCTAGCGTAATGGGATAAAAATTTAAGTATGGAGAAGTGAAGCCCAGCGCCTGACCCTTCTAGTTGCCCTGGGTCCTTTTAATCTCTCATTTACACTATTTCAAAAGATGGACTAATAACACCAGAAGATGACCCAGTTAAAACTCAGTTTTCATTACATGTTTTCAAGATGGCAGAGGAATTTAAAGAGGACGTCGTAGCAAAGAAGTCTGTTATGACTGGGAAAATGTGGTAGCTTAATGGGTCAGATATTATAAATAGTTTTTCCTTATGCCGCTAAAGTAACTAACAAATATAACAGTTCTTCCTGTGCAGACCTGGAGCTGCTGCTGACTGACTTATCTCTGAGAACACATGGTAGGAATGAGGATCCCAGATTAAAATATACAAACACACCAAATCAGAACATTTTAGTTTAAAAAGGAAATTTTAAAAATACACAAAATATGTATCATTTGCACAGAATGAAACGGGCAAGCTGAGTGCAGTGGGATGCAACGTGCAAACATCAAGAGAGCACATAAATACGCTCATCCTGGTCCAGAAGAGGGCTTTAGGGAGGAGCCCTAGAACAGCAGGGCTATCCCATTTCCCCTGACCCCGCCTCTCTGCTATTCAATGCTGGGGGTAGTTCCTAGCTCCCTGCCTTTCCATCCAGTGGGCTGTAGAGAAGACTAGACAAGAAAACATTCTACTTTATCCCCGACAGACCCTTCTACATGAAGTAGTGGCCTCTGGAGTGGGTCCATAAATCTGGTCCCATGCTGCATCTTCACAGTAGCAAAGAAAACACTATGTACTTTCAAAGGAAAGCAGATCCCTAGCAAGAGTACTTTGCTGTCCAAGAGCCTGCAGCAAGCATGGCAGTAGTTCTGGGGATGGTGCCTCAGAGAAAGCAGTTGTGAACTCTACTGCAAGGTCTGAGAGACTCCCTTGAAAGCTCCCACTTGGTCCTGGACAGAGCATGGCTTATGGCACATTTTATTTCCTCCTTCAGGAAGCAGCAGCATGGGTGCTGTGGACTCCTAATCACAGACACGTGGCAGCGGCAGGCGTTCCTACCGTTCCAACTCGACTCTGCTGACTAACCCAATTCTATAAGGAACTCTCACCTCCCTAAACTTAATTCTGGACATCCGGGTGTAGGACTGCGGCTCTCTTCTTCCAGAAGGGATGCTGACTTCCT